ATTTAAAATAAAAAATTCATGAATTTTGTGTGAGCTTTAAGCCCATACCTTGCAAGCATCCAATACACAATCGACATCCTTGCTGTTGCTGTCTCTGCTCCTCTGACCCTGCGAATTATTCATTATGATATAGCTTTTATTTAGTTCAAGTGGTTGGCAGTAGAAAACACTGCAAACGGCTGTAGCTGTTAAATTTTTCAATTGATCATTTTAATTTATAATTTAATTTCATCTTCAATTAGTGATATTTTTCTTGATAGAGTTATAACTGTTGATAAGAGAATGAAAAGGTTAATACATTGATACAATCAAAATAATGGTATTATACGATTGATGTAATAGTGGATAACAACAAACCAAGATGTTATCAATTGTTGGTTTAAAATAAATACCAAAAAGTATTCCTCAAAATGCTTAAAAATGATAAAATTGTGCTTGAAGTAGTAGAATTCCTCAGATAAATGAAATAATTTGAATTGTGTAATTGAAGTATTTCATTAATGCACCTATAAAAGGTGTCAAAAATTGCAGAATAATTCTAATTATAGCATCTAAAAAGAACTTCTCAATTGATATATTTATGTTTCTTAGCGATGACAATGTAATAAATTATACTAAAACTGAAAATTTATTGCTTTTTCCAAACAATGTATTCAGGAGACGCAATTCAAATTACAATTTAAAGGTTTGATACGAATAGTAGAAGTTAGTAAATCTAAAACCCTAATTAACAGTTCCATAAATCAGTCAAGCTTGGAACCAGATGTCTCTTCTAAAAATTATTGGCCAAGACTAAAATGCCACTTTTGGGAGCTATTTTTAATGGGCTTTAAACGACCTTCTAAAATACCACATTCAATTATCAGCTCTGTCCTTTCAATGTGCACAAAATTAACCGAATTGGAGACCTGTTATGTTTCATCAAATCAATCCTGACATCTAGTACTTAAATCTTTCAGGGTTGATAGACTAGTCAATTCTTAACAATCTAATTAGATAAGTTATTTAGTCTATCATGAAACAAATCTGTGACGATTCCTCATAAAGTTATCTGATGGATGAACGATTCTTTTTTTGGATAGTTTTGGCTCTGCATGATCTATGTTTTGAGATGAAAATGAGACAAAGATTGCCTATACCGCCAAATTAAGCGAATTTCTTGGCTGTCAAATTGAAAACAAAAAGAATCAATGAAATATGATGAGAAGGAAATATACTATTCCTGATTTACCATCCATACTAACTGCGCCTTGACACTTAACATAAGTAAATATGCAAATATTGGCTCGATTGAAGAGAAAAAGAATAGACGGTTAAAATGGTGTCATATCTACTGAGTGCATTTGTCCTCCGTGTGGCGCATTTTATAATTTATTCTTTCTTTCTCTTTCTCCATCTCTCAAAAAAGATATGAAATGATATGTTGGAAAAATTGAGGAAATCAAAACTTTACTCACTTCATGATGCTCTAAAATTTATATTAATCAGTACAAAAAAAAGTTGAAAAATACTGACTTTAACTTTCATTCTCTCTTTCGTTCTCTCCCTCTCTCTCCCTCTCTTTCTTTTTCTATTACAGGATGTATTTTTGAATGAAATTTCAATCCCAAAAGTCAACTTTTTGTTTATCTTCCCATTTTAATAAAAAACGAAAAAAATTAAATTAAAAAAAAGTTTCTTCGAAAAAAAATCTTCCCAATGTTTCAAATGTTTGAATGTTTACAAAAAGCTATATTTTTTTTTGCAGATCAACAACTTGATAAGTGAAAAAAAGAGCGGAAATCGAATGCGATGAAATTGGAGTTGTGAAGGAAGCTGACGTCAACTGATGTTGAACAAATTTTATTTTGAAATGGAAATTTTTTTTTCGAGGAAGAAATTACACAGAATGACTATGGCAAGAATCAGCTTTTGTTTTTCTTTTTTTAAAAAAAGTCACTATCAATGAAACTTCAATTTTCTTTAACGAAATATATCAGTCCTTGAATATTTGAAAGTTAAGAAATGTTGGATGTAAAAAGTATTTGGAAATTAACACTACGTGGATATTTGCACCTTTAGATTTTATTACTAAACTTTTTAAAAACTAGTAATAAAAGCGCATCTCTTTCTTCACAGAGCTAAAACGACCAAATTTTAATATTTAAATCTTAAAATTGCAACTAAGAATCTAATTCCCATGCTATAATTAAACAAATTTTACAAATTCATATACAAGAATTTCTTCGAAGTGCGAAAGTTGGTAACAGTCAAGTGAGATTAAGACAAACGGGAGCGTGTGTCACCAAACTTCAAGCGACCCTCAGATCCTACCTTGATAAATTGGGATAAGCAAACTAGTTTAGTGATTAGTGACTAACATGTTAAGCTTCTTTCAGGAGGCTAATGCAACTGCTATGTTAGAATGCTGGCACATAAATCGAATATGAATCAGAATAGGTTCCAAATCCGAAATGTTGATAGGTTTAAGAAAATATTAATTATCAGAAAGATAAGATTATTTTTGATATTATAATATGAAATTATATAAAAAATAAATTTTACAGAGAAACTAACTCAATTGAGTTTCTATGTTGTTGTCGATCTTTCCAATTGTCGCACCACCATTACTGGTGTTATTAGCGTCAGTTGATGTGGCGATAACTAATGAATAAGAATCAGCAATAGATGGATGTTGGTCATACATGATGCAGCCTGAGTAGCCAATATTAGAAGTTGCCGTAGAAGTTGAAGAAGTTGTAGGTGTTTCGTTACCACTCGAGCTAGAAGAAAAGCTCGAGCGGCCAACACTGCTGTTTCCACCGCCACCACCACCACCGCCAGCACCACCGCCGCCACCACCACCACCACCACCACCACTACTGGTATTAGTATTATTACTATTACTATTATTGCTACTGTTACGACTGTTGCCGCCTACAGTAGCTCCTTGTTGTAATTGGTGTGACTGATGCGGTACTTTTTGTGGTTGCGTTATTCTGACACTTTGTTCAGGTTGTTGCTGATGTTGAGTGTTACTAGAACGTCGAAAAACACCGCGGAAAGCAATTAGATTTGTGGCCAGTTTGCTTCACCTCCAGTGTCGCCGTTTTGTGCCAAATGATGAAAGAGTCCGGAATGAATTCACAAATAAAATTCAATATATGGGAAATAAACTTCAGAATGAAAGAATGCAACAGATAAGCCAAATAAAATTCTTGAAGCAAATCAGAATGATCCCATAAGTGAACAAATTGTGAGCTCAGAAATTTTCATTGATTTGTTTGCAGTGCTTCGCCCCAAGACTATTGTCAGTTGGTGCCAATCTGGAATTAAACTTAAAAAGTTTCAAGTTTCATGAAGTACTTTATGAAGCTATTCAGATTGAAATTCAAATTTAGAAACATCGAAAAAAAAGGAGCGCTACATCCTCGAAAGAATACAACATATCTGTATTTTTACTACACGACTTAATAGCAGGGGTCAAGCAAAGGTTATGAGCCAATTGAAGGACGGACGAAATCGGAAAGGATTTCTAATGATTCGAACTTATTTTCATAAGCAATGGTCATTACAAGGATGCACGATGACTCAACCTTTTTTTACGCACAATGGACTGCAATTACGATTGTAAGTAAATATAATGCGTAGTTCAGGAAGGATTCCATGAAGAAAATTACTAAACTAAAACACTTGTTAGAATTTCTGGAAAATGATTTACCAGAATAGTCAGGACAGTGTTAGATAATGAATACGTAAAAGGTAAGTTAGATTATAAGTTCAAACGAAAGAAAGAACACATCCTGTCAACCTGATTGATAGAACAATGATTTCAGGAATTTAGACGCACACTTGTGCCAACATCGACAGGAAGCAACACAATATCTCAAAAATTCGCCAAAGCACTAGCAGAGAGAATCGGAATCGAAGAAGAGAAACCATGTCCTCCCTTTCCTCTTCCACACCATCATCGAGGTCCCACCCCTTGATCGGTTGTGCGGCATACGGTAGTCAGATGGTTAGGCAGGTAGGATTCTCAGCTTGCTCTACTCCTCCCACTAATGATTGTGATGAAGAAACAACGCAACGCCGCTGACGATGACGATGACGGCGACGACGGCAACGACAACGATGATGGCGGCGATTATCATTCATCCATTCATTTTTAGAGTACGTTAACTCTGTCTGACATCTATTTGCCTTCTAGAAACCTGATGGTACTGCTATTAAACGGTAGATTGAAGCAAACTTTCCTGTCATTTTCACATCGGTATCATCTTTTGGATAAGAGTCATAATGCAATCTTCGACAGGAAAATTTTCAGGAAGAAAGCTCAGAGCCAATTGGGAAAATCTCGAATCACACCTGATCTATCTATCTATTCAGGCAACGAAAAACTGAGAAGAACATGATGGCTGACTGATATTACATGGATAAATTGGAAGCAGGAGAATCACAAGGGAGAATGTTTGGAAGGAAAGCTATTTGTTGATTAATAAAGTTACATGCAAATTAATTGAATCATATCATCGCTTTCACTCTTATCACTCGTTGCGGTATTTGCTTCCGTACAAATCATATCTATTAGAAATGGCTTTCCATTGAATTAAATGATTAAATGACCTTTTTATCATTGATAACTTGGCGTAATGTTTGACGAAAGATGATAAGCAAAAGGATTTGGCACAATTTAGAATCCAAATCGAAAATTTTTGATCACTCCTGACATGGAATTCTACGGAAACGAAGTATTTCATCAGTGTTTGGTGAAATATGCAAATGTCTCAGATAGAAATGAAGTAAGATTAGAATATTAGTGGAACGAAGAAAGTGACAAAATTCATGCGCCGTTCGTCTTCATGTTCTGTTCTTACAGTGAATGATGAAAAAAGCATTTTGGATTACCCATTTAAAGAATGAAATCTCAATAGATTAAAAACAAGGATTTAAAGGACTAATTAACTGTAAGTCTCAGTGAATAATTAACTAAACTATCAAGCAGTTTCAAATAAAAACTAGGTTGGACAAACAGGAAATAGCGAATTTAAACATGTCATGTCATATCATTCCACTTTAAATTTGTGAGACTAATTTGTTACTTTAACATAATGATAAAATAAAAACACTTTTCAAAGAACTAAATGAACTTTCTTGAATAAATATAAATCTTAACAGATGAAAACTCTTCTAAAAAATGAATCATAAAAGCAATCATTAACTGTACCTTCCTCATAATTAATTTCAAATTATCTTTCACCAATCAAGCCAGTAATGAAATCTGCTTAATATATTTTTTCAATATTTCTAAAATTATCTTTGAATTCAGAACTTTTCAAGTTTATCCCTAGCATGTTCAATACTTTTACTTTTGTAGCACAAGTAAGTTAAATATTCAAAGCAAACTTGAGTGGGAATTAAATCAAACTTAAATTAGAAAGTAAGTAAAAGTAAAATATCAGATTCATTTCGAAAATTTCCTTCCCAGTTAAAACAAGTTTAGAGTTAAATAAGCCTTAAAAGATAGTTGTTGTAATTTGTGGCAAAAGCTTTAGTCCAATGTTAATTTCAAAAGGATATTGGATTTTGCAGAAAATCATCAGTATGATTGCATGACAACGTTCTCCTAGCAATGATGAATGAATATTTGTTGTAATTTATAGAAAAAAAAAAAGAAAAAACATCCATAAATATGACATAACTGTCCCCTCATCAATAAATGGTTGACATGTTGCTAACCAATTGATTCTTTCATTCATTTTTATAAAAGAAAAGCAACAATGTTTTGCAATATTCATTCATTCATTTATTATTATTACTTTTTCTTTAAATAATGTTAGCAATTTAAAAACCTTTTCCTTTATTCTTACATACAACTTGTTTAAATAAATATAAATAAAATTTGAGATAACGCATAGAACGGACAAAAGAAAGAAAACTGAAGTTAGTATGATATTATTAGTTTAAATTTGAATTTATCAAATTAATTATACTTCGGTTTTTTGACAAATTTTACTGTAAAATTGATAGTATTTGTGTTTCATGCTTTTTCACGTTCGCAGTTCTCTGACAACTTAAATAGCAACTCATTAATGCTACCTGTCATTTCAAATACCATTTATCAGAGAGGAAATGCATGAATGATAAGACTTTCTGCTGTAACAACAATGAAAACAGCAGTAATGATAATCATGACATTGGTGGTGACCACATCAATAGTGATTAATAGTGATAATAATGTTTGTCGCATTGGAATAATCACATCATTAATTTAGAAGTGATGATAACAATGGTAGCTATATTTTAGTGGTAGTAACAATTAATAATAGTGATAATAATTGATTCAAATGAAATTGAAAAAAAGAGTCTATGTATTTTTCATTTTGTTATTTATAAATCTCTTCTTTTTTTTCGAATACAGGTATTTTATTGTATATCATTGATACGGACGAAGCTATTCTCACTATCGGAAGTATCATATCAATGATAAGAGACTTTAAATCAAGGAATTTTTTTTTCTTGATAGAGTGACAAAATTCTGTTACTGAATTGTCACAGTAGAACGATATGCGATATTGGCTGGTATTGTGGATGCAAAGTGGTTCACTTTTGAAATTGTTGCGCACATCGTTCAGCTAATTAGTGTAAGTAGTCTCAGCTGATGAATAAGGGAGTATTGCCTACCCCTTCCCATCAATTATTATTACTATTGCTCAAATTTTCGCGCATGAACGACTGTTAATAGGTGATGATGAGGAGAAAAGCGAAAAATGGGACCCCAAATAGACCAGAAGAATATTGACTTCTCAAGGATATGTCCTCCTTTCCACCTCGCTTCCTTACAAAATCTAAAACAACCTTTTCCACCTGTCAAACATCGCCTAATTCAAATCTGCATTTGTTATCTGTCATATGGTACTCATTCTCATTAAAGAGTAGCAATCGAATTATTATATTGACCTGCTAACAGGTCGGAAATGATGTTTAGTTTCGGCAATCTCAAAGTTTGTTTTACCTTTAACAAGTCACCAATCATTATCAAAAGACAATTATTTGTTTAATTGATAAATGAAAGGAAATATGCTTATATATGTTTTTTGACCTAAAATCCTTACAATTTTTTTTGCTAAGGTAGACATTCAGCTGATCTGTTTGAAAATGACATCTGGTGCAATGAAGGAACATCAACAGGTTTGCAGTGTGTAGAAACTTTTGTTCTGAAATTCGCTTCAAATCGCAAACATTTTAAACTTAGAATTACTTTTTTCAATTCCATAAAATGGAGCGCACTTGTCCGTAATAGCTTAGTCCAAGCCTAATTTTTCCTTTTTAACAACCATCATGTTTTCAAGATGAATAAAATGAACCATAAAAATATTGGTAACTTATTTTAATGTCTAGCAAGAATAGGAAAGGAAATAATTTTCTTTTTCATGAGAGAATGGAATAAGATTATTTGGTTTCATAAAAGCAATGAAAAGAAAGGGTCTGGCGTCACCTGATGGATGCTTATCTTATCGTCTCGAAATCTCACAAAAATACGCAACAAAAATAGTGAGAATTGAAAAAAGCTCCGGATTGGCTAATATAAACATCATCCAGCAGTAGAAGAAACATCAATGTCCATCCCATCACCGCCACCATCAACCAACCCAACCACCTTAGAAGAAACTTTAGAAGGAAAAAAAAACCAAAATAGGGTTGGGGTTGTAGTATACGGTTTAATAATATATGGCGCCGAATAAAACTTTTTAATCATTGAAATCCAGAATTCATTTATAGTCCAAATGCGCCAATTCTCATTCATCGTTCTCTTGAGATATTATGATTTTTCGCCTGTTCATATATTTTTCTATTAAATTCATAACAAATCCAAGATTTCAATCTTCTCAGTTATGAGGATAAATAGCAATTTTGAATGCCTTAATATATCCAATGCTTCTTAATATTCATTCCATTTGATATCTAATTTCCATCGATAAATGGAAGAGTGTCAAAAACGCTTCCAAAGTTTTAAATCAAATTTATTCGAAATACATTTCGAAAATTCCACATAAATTATGACAAATCTTTTGGAAACGACAGCAACTTAACGACTAACTCTCAACACAGCAATTGTTTGCTTCTTTATTTTGCACTGTCTTACGTTTACCGCAAGTAAATTTCTTGTTTGCCCACAATAATCAATGATTATTCGACATGCAATGCATGTAACCTCTATGTGTAGCATGCCAGTTTGCAAGTGCAAGTTATTTTTGCATGCAACACCATGCGCTCATCGTTCACTTTTCGAAAAAAAACTCTTACTCATCCGTATATGAAAATTTATTTACTTAAGCATCACTGTAGGATTACTGCCATGTTTATTCACTGGTATATTGTCCACAAACATGCAAATCCTATTGTTCTAATGTCAAATACTAATGGTACCTTTTCTTTCAGAGTGGACAAATGTCTAACACATGCAATAAACATTCTGGCAAACATTTATTCAGAATATAGAATATATTAATGAGTGAGTTGGTAAAATTCGTGTGAGAAATATAAATGTGGAGAGAATGATGTTTGTTATGCAAGGATGACAGGAAAAGGTATAATGTCACGTTGATCCGCTTGTCGAATGAATAGCTTTAGAAAGAACGTGACTCATACATGGAAAGTTGATAATTTTTCCCTTTACTTTTGTGTCCATGGACGGATATTTGGCCTTATTTTTTGGCTTTGACAACAACTAGGCTAAATGACTGCCTGAATTCCAGAGTACAGACTGAAGTAAGGCATGTCATTAGATTCCATGAGGCTTCCTTCCTGACCAGATTATCGTCAATAATTTATAGAAGATATGAGATTCAGAAATACCGAAATAGTGCCATATTTACATCCACGCAATAAACGAAACAATTCAAACCAATTAACAAGCGAAAAACTTTCTGAATGTTCATTTAATGAGTGACAGAATCATTTAGGTAAAGTTACGACAAATTATTTGAATGCTGGTTGACAGGCAAACATTATAATGATGAGGGATTGAAAGGTGAAAGGTGATTACATGAGGATCTCAGCAGGAGATGGACCACGAACTGCTTATCTTCCTAACCTTCTTAGTTCTCCCTTATTTCATGAATCTGATCCGATGAGATTACCCATCGGGGCTATTCAGGAGCAACACGAGTCTACTTAAACATCACCATACCAACGTCTTCCTCGATTACATTGCCAAAGGTCAAAGTTCATAACCGGGAATAAAGAAACTTCAGCGTGGCATAACATTGGTTGATGCTTTCGAGCAGGAAATTTTTCAAGTTAAAACTATAAAACTATCGATTTGTAATGCGAAATTATTTGAAGCAAAAAAAGGAACATAGAATATCAGAGGATGAAAATGGTAATAGGAAATGAAAATGGCGAACGGTACTCGGATAAAACTAATCAATTATTCAAGTTTAAGCAAGTAAGATTGGATTTGCGAATTTATTTTTTACAATTTTTAAATTATAAATATATATTATGAAGATGCATTTTTATCATAAACATTACAGAAAAAGAGCCGGCTTACTGTAATCCTTACATAATGCAAATTTCTCTTGTGCTTCATAAGAATTTATACAAATCTATTGATATTATATAAATAATATCAATAAATGTTTTTCATTATAGTGCAAATGCCAATTGTACAATGCTAAATCTCAGCAACAACGAATACAACTTTGTCAACTTTATCATTCATGAGATTCTAAACTAACTTATCAGTCAGCTATCAAACTTATACACATATATTCTCCGGAATTTTCATGATTAGTTCCGGATATGACTTGAAGCAAAACAAACAGAGCATAATATCTGTGTGTTTTCCATATCTTTCTAGAATTTGTAAATACGAAAACATGATAGTTTGAAGGCTATCCATTGAAAAAGGCACAAGTATTTGCATTTGAAGAGGGACACTACTCATCGATGTTCAATCTTTGACACACACCACCGGAAAACTAATTACGAACACCGGTCATTCTCACTTCTTTTTTTTGAAAAAATTGATCAGTACTCGCAATATGTTAATGATTAGAAATAGTATGTCGACAGTATGACCAGTCCCATCATCGGTACAGTATGATGGTCATCAATTTTAATGAACTTTTTTAAATTCATCGAACTCGTCTCCTTCGATACTTCCGACCAATGATTACTTCTTATCAGGTCAAGGAATGTTGTTAAATGTGGAATCTGTTGCTAAGCACAAAGAATTCTGTCACCTACTAACTCGTACGCAAAATCTATGATAGAATGGGGCGGTAAACATCGGTGTCGTAAAAAAAAAAAAACTTCCCAAATAACGATCTATTTTGCAGTTGTTATTTTTCCAAATATTTTCACAACATTAATAGATTAGCGAAAATGCCTCATGTTATTTTAACGATTAAAAATTAAAAATAAACACATATAGTACTAAACAAGATTAAGGTATGTTGACCAACTCAACTCAAACGTATCACAATCAATATGAACATGAGGTCAGGTAAAATCAAACCCGGTAAGTGGAAGACTACTCCCTACCATTTAATTTTATGGATGGATTCTAACAATAAAACAGAATAAACTTGGGACTAGGGAGGTGATAGATGTAAAACAGTACGACTGTCAACTAGCAGAGCTGTGACAACTGCAATTTTGTCACAAAGTAGATCCGAATAACAATCACTCTGATTTATTCATTGTACAATATTTACATCAGCGCCTATGCATTGCAAGGAACAGTAATGAGGCCTGTGATTTTCAAAACTTTCTCTGAGGAAAATAATTGTAAATAAAATTAAATCGCTGGCAACACATAGCAATATTTTTTTGATATACAATTAATATGTGCAACATACAATTAATTAATAAGTGAAAACATTTGATGTGTATATACAGAAAAAAAAGCAAATACTGAATCCAAAAGCTAAAATAAGAAGGACGTGTGAATCAATTCCTGCCGGTCCGGTTGAAACGATGGATGAAGGATGAATTAACTATCTAGAAAACACTTTGTCGGGACTTATCATCCCACAAGCACTACAAGCAATACAAAGGAAATCATGATACAATAATAATTTGAGGTAGAGGAAATTAAAGAGACATGTTTGATAAGGTTTTTTGTACATAACCGTAAAATTTAATTTCTCAAACTTTCCGTTTCACTGCCTATATACTATGAACAAAGTAATTACAGACATCGCCGTTCCCACTTCTTTTTTAAAGAGTGATAGGTGCCTGCAGTATTTCAACGATTAAAAGTAAATACAACAACTGCACAGCTGCCAGTAACGACCGATACAGTATTCCTTAATTTTGAAGTGACCTTTAAATTCATTCAACTATTCATTCCAATTGGTTTTCAGCGCTCCTCAATTGATGGCTACTTATTATCGTCTTTTTAATAGGTTCATGATAAAATTCCATTTAACATACACAAAACTTCCCACAACAAATGAATCAAAAATTTTACCCAAAAAGTAACTGGACTCGAGTTCACTGTAAGACTTGCAATTTTGAACTTGCTATTACTTGGAAGTTTTTTAGAAATGCGAAACACAAGAGTCCAAACATGGAAATAAGGTATCAACAAGACATAACAAAATATCATTTGTTTCATACTGATCCTAATATTATTTTCTTCTGTATGTCATGTACATATAAGCGAAAGTGCACGACAATGTCTGCAAACTGGTATACAGCAAACGGTACTTGATAAAACGTCGTAGGTATACAGTGTTCCTACAATTAACGCCGAACCAAGAAACCATCCACTGTTACCGCAACCGGGACATTTCCACTCGGTGTGCATGCATGTAATGCAAATTGCGTGCAAATAACCTGTCCTGAAATGACGCTGTACTTCAAAAGTCAGAGGATAAATAAACTCATTGGTTTATCACCAGAGATTTGGGGTATATCAAGTAAGAAGTCATTACTAAGTAAACTTTCCAAAATTACTACAGTTCAAGGTTTTCAAAGAAATCCAAGCAAAATATCACCAAAGTATTTGATAGTGAAGAACGACAGTGAATTAAATTACTCACAAAGACACGAAGCATATAACAGGTTGAACAGAGTCTGAATTCAAGAAATGGAAACTTGCTTGGATTCAAACTTCATGCTGACTGCAGCTTTGGAGTGTTGTACTGGCGAAAGGAAAAAGGTTCCATCGATAAGCGGATATCTATCGTAAACAACTAAATTTCGTTCACACAAAACACATGGTACCGTTCGACAGTTGTGCGTCCCGAGGGCACGAAGTACGGACAGCCTTGTATCATCGCCACCCTGTGGACAATCGTCTTCCATCTAAAACGAAGTTTGTTAGAGTTATTCTAGACTCATTCTCTTTTGTACCTTCTCTCTTTCTCCACTCATTCTCTCTTTTGTAGTTAACGATACTACAATTTCGACAAATTATAATTAGTTTTATCGAAATAAATCTAGTAATTTTACTTATGTCAAATAATTAAACCTCCCTAAAATAGTTAAATGATATAAAATCTATCCAAAGTTTATTTACGAAAAATCATATAGAAATCAAAGGATTAAAATTGAAAGAAAATAGATTTAAACCTTTATATGAAAACCGTTTAAACGTGTATGTGGCAATGCCTCTTTAACATATTGCATATCCTTTCGCCTTTCAAAAATTGAACCCGTTTTCCGTACCTGCAAATTTTGTTACTTTGCAAAAGAAATAGTTGATATTTCGGAAAATTGTGCTGATAACCTGTGATAAAACATCATTGTGATACCTCATCTGCTGGGGTATCTGTGGAAGCTTCACTTGGTCAGCATATTAACTGTAATCACATGTGTTGTTAACGAGGCTATGAAGTACAAGCTATCATGAAAGTACAAAAGTGGATAAGAATGATTCTTTTAATAAAATGATGTCGTATATTCAGGCTTCATACAAGAAATTTTAGGAACTGCTACTTCTATCTGACAGCTTTCCCTCAATTATTTATCTAGGGTTTGTTTTCTTTCCTATTATCTTCATTACAACCATTAAAAAAAGCTAAAGCAGATCCATTAAAAAAGCTTTGCCAGCGAACCTTCATTACATTAGATTGCTGTCTGGATAGTCAGCATTCCATACCATCTTTCATCTTTCAACATAAAACACTATGCTGATAAAAACACTGGAAATTTTCTTGGTAATTACCAAAACTTCAAAAGACAGATCTCTCAAATTTCTTTGCAAATCATTCTTAGTTCTTGAAATCAATCTATAAAAGATCATCCTTGGAAACCATTTTAAATCACTCGAACCTAATATTTTCATATCTTCTACCTCTCTCATTCTCTTTTTTTTAAAACAACTCGCTTTGACTTTTATCAGCACAGTGTTCACTGCTTTTGAGTAAAGATATGGATTCTCACTTGCTCATCTTCAAAAAAGTTGTATTTTTCGCCATTTTTTTTAGCCAAAGCATTCGTCAAAGCGGAGCGTATTTTCGAATCGTTACCAATAGAGCCTTCCCGCACAATCGTTTTCTCCTCACGTGAGCCAATCCGGTTCCGAAATTCCGTTTCTGGCGTTTCGAAAACCTAACGAAAAAACATAAAACACATTGTAGCATTATAAATAGTTCATTTGAGGAAGCGCTTTCTGAAATATTCCATAAACAAGTGGATACAAGAAGCACATAAGACAATTTCAACTTTAAACTTACCTATTCTCAACAAGATCATCCAATACTTCTTTATGCTCTATCATATGACAGCCATAAAGCAGGTTTGATTCCAGTCAACAAATATCCTACTGTTAATTTAGAAGTTCAGCTAAAAGAAACGGAAATACATAAAATGTGCTAAATGTAAGCTAAAAACCACAGTTTTCCCTTCCTTTACCTATTTTATATAATGAATGTGGATGTTGATCTATAAATAGATAGATGGGCATTAATAGGCCTGAAAGAAAAGCGCTCTTGTCTGTCTAACCACTTCTCCCTTCATCTTTTCCGACAGATAGCGGTCGCATCTATTCATGAGTTGCTCTTACATTGTTTCTCCTTTCTTAACATCCCATTTCTTACCAGTCAACTTTCGCCTATTCTTATTTTGCAATAAGGCTAGAGACGAAAATACACGACCCTTAAGCTATCAACAACTAACCAGACAAATGATTAAATCATCTTTTTGCTCTCGTCAACAAAATTTCTTTAAATTTAAATTTAACAAAATTAAAGAACTCTCTCCGTATTGTTTATATAGTTGTAGGCTTGTACATCATGTATGTGTTTGGTTCAGATCATTCGAACTCCAATCCCAAATTTTTAATGAATTTAAAAATTTCCTTAATGAGTCTCCTAATGAGCTCACAAATATATAAATATTTAGAAGTGAATTCAAGTTACAAATTCTCTATATAAAGGCGAACAAACAAACGAACAGCAGACATACTGATGATACGAATACGATGGACATATGGATCGATAACATTAAAACGATGAAAATACTAAGGTATTCCATTCACGATGCAACGCAACGTGATCAACCTTTAATTTGGACTTTTATTTATCAACAGAAGCAAATATGTCACCTGAACAAGAATCTAGAGAGACTTTTGTTTATCAACAGAAGTAAATGCGTCACCTGAAGAAGAATCCAGAGGGACTTTTGTTTATCAACAGAAGCAAATGCGTCACCTAAAGAGCAGTACAATTGAAAAATTATTTTTGCATGTGAAATCCCTTAATACTAACACTAACACTAACGTGAATAGTATATTAAGTACAGAATGAGTTCCGTAGCGTATGACATATTAATGAGAGTATAATATCGATTAATGTAGAAGGAATTAAGTTATTAATTATCCTCAATCATATCATTATAGAATGTTGTTCAAACATTTCCACTCAAATTTTAAACTCCCAAAAAAAAAGAAGTAACTGTAAAGACTGTTTGATTTATGAAAGGATAGAGGGAATTCTTTACTTGTTAATGTGTTTACACTGTTCCAACGGAAGAAGACAATATCAACGGATGGTTAATGATAGCCCCTCAATGTCACCGGATGGTAGACAGTAGCTTCTCAACATTACCGGATCGTAGATGGCAATGCAATGATATCTTACCTTTCAATTCCCTTCACATTCCGCAGTATGAGTGAATTAAAAAAAATCTAATAGATTTATTTTTTTGAATAGATTTGCATGGTCATGGAATAGTTAATCCGGCAGTTTAAACGGAAACTGATAAACGGATGATGTCATCCATCTCATGGCAACAAATTCGATATTCAACTGTTACGAAGTCGAAATCTTTTTTTTAAAGACATCCCGCGAACTGCCATTCATTTCAGGAAAAACACTCCGCTTGTAAAACCTTTTTTTTTGTCTAAATAAACAACACAGCTAATATTCCGGTTACAGTTCGTTCGCCTTCGGAAGTGCAAGTGAATTTCACACAAACGAAGGATGTTTATTTCGAAAAGCAATTAATGACAAAGGTTCAACTGTCCTTTGTCAACAACAACTTACCTAATTGTACAAATGCAAGAAAAAAACTTGTAAAATTGTCGTCTCATTTAGAATTTCCCAAAATTATTGTCATCATGGGAAGAGACTCAAACAACAAAATGGAAATGTTTGTACTTTACTTTACAGCAGTAAAAAAAAAAAAACTGTAGAGAAATTGCTACAACGCCAAAGTGTACAAGTTCTGAAAAAAATAGCCAGAAACGAACAGTGGACGGGAAGTACCGAAGGAAGAAAAAGCGCGCAAAAGTTCTAAGCGCTACTGGACTGAATCCCGAAGTAGCAGTATTTGTTTTTGATAAACACGCAAATAGATCAAAGACAACAGAATAGATAGAGGAAGGCGTTCATCTTCCAAAAAATGATTATCTGATAGAACCAAAATACAGAGAGCTGTTATATGGGAACAAAATTGATAAGCATCCGATGGAAACCGGTTCCCTAATCAACCATAGGATTGGAAATAATAACGCTGCTTTCTCTGTCGAAAAAAAACTTGACCGAAATCAAAACTAACCATAACTTTTCTTGACCACAAGTGTATTGGAACTGATTTTGGCTTCTTAAAAAATCCCGTAAAACGGGAGCGGGTATTAGATCGATGTGCCACTAATGAGCTTTGCCACTTTTCGAATTCCTTTTTTGAAATTCTAAACTCGCAAAATTTACTGCAATAACAATGAAATAAAAACGAAACGCTTTATAATATGCGCATAGCAAGCGGTTTCAATAAATAAACAATAAGAAATTAGAAGTATGGGATGTTGAAGGAATGAAATCATCTCACTCGACTCATTAAGGATTACTGTGACAGCTGTCAAACAACCGGAATCAATTAACCGTTAACGGAAACTGCCTGAAAATGACAATTGCCATGCTAAACGCATATGAAGAAAAACAAACTTGAAATTTGCAAAAGATTTCAAACTCTCCAGCAATTCAACAATGCCTTATCGGATGATTTATTCGATGAAATAACTCCGAGACGCATTCCTTCCCGGGAATGTCATGTGAATGGCCCAACTGGTTAAAGAGCGAGATGTGTACATCAAAGATACCAGGAAACTGCTCTATGACGAAAATATCACTTTCTATTTCTAGGCAACATGAAGTTCAGGACAGGCACACACGCACACGCACGCATATACCAACACCCACACATACAGACACACAGACAGACGCACAGACTCACACATATATATATATATATATAATACAAAAGAGCATGGGGGAAAGGGAAAAGTTTGGAATGCAAAAAATAGTATAGAGAGCAGGCAGGTAATACTAAGAAGCTTCTAGCCTTCCGGGCTGTAAATAACAACAAGCAATACGGGGGGGAGAGGGCGGGAGGGGGACGGGAACTGAATTACCCGAGACACACCTTCATATGAAGCCAAATTATCAGCAGTTCCTATGGGTAAGTTTGTGGATGGGTGAGTGATTGGGTAGGCAGACTAGTGTTAGGGTGGATGAAGAAATATCAAAACATGGCTTCAGCTTGCATCACAATTTCGCTGAAAAAAAGTACGCATACACATACATGCACGCAGACAGACAGACAGACACATACATACAGACACAGACATATACATGCATACATGTGATTATGTTGGGGTGGCAGGAGGGAAATAGTAAACATGATGGGTTAAGGGAGGGTCGATAACAACACACTCTTCCAGATGTTACTGTTAGGTTATCAGTGATAACAATGCAGAGGATTTCTCAACTTTCGATATTTTAATTTAAATGAGTTTAATAGTTCAGTCACCATATCACTTTACAGGTGTGAATGGCAATGACAGGTAACGTTAGATACATAGCGTTTCATGTAGATAAGTCTGAGCTAATATTATCTGAGCGTCTCAGTAGGTAGTGAGCTGGAACACACTTTGAACGAACCAGAGAGATCACTGAAATGATTACCTAAATGATTACCTTAAGATTCTCTTGGATACTTCAGACGACATCACGATCGATGTTGTTCATCACTGACGGAACCATTATAATAACTAGTGGCCTACATAATTCATGATTTTTTCTTTGAAAAGGCAAGTCCATCATTGGTGACTTTAGCTACCAATCAGCAGTAGGGACTGTTCCGCTGGGCTGTGACCCTGAGAAGACTAAATATCAGAGTTCATCCAGAAGCTGCGTAACTACAGATGGATGAATCATTGTGAGTCAGAGGTACAATATTGTTAAAGACAAGCAACACCTAATTAATTTACCACATATATGCTTTCAGGGATATATCCACGATATGATTGAGTACAGGAACTAAGTGGAAACTCGTGTTAGAATTTTGATAAAATTGTGGGATGTATTTGCTGGAATACTTCTATCTCTTCCTCTCATTTGTAACTGCTTTTTATCTGCGAACTCAACTCAGTACTCCACGACTCCTTGGATTTAAATAAATGTTGAAATTCAGACGTAAGCAACATTGTCATCCATCGCTTATCTCAGTTAAAAATCTTCCAAAATCCTTTTCAAGCAGTGAATATTTTCGATACCAAAAAAAAGAATTTATACTGGACTAAGAGGAAAGTTTATGTACAACAATGCCAAATAAACTGTGCTGTTTAAATACTGAATGGATTAATATATAAATATCACAAATAATGTTGCAAATTTCGACAACGAAAGCTTGTAGAGACGCAGCAACTGACTTAACTTCAAATCACTTGCAACTATCGCTCTATAGTTTGTCCTATATCAGACTCTGCCTTACTCAACTTTTAAACTTTTCTAACTGCATAATTTAAACAACAATTACCACGTTACTGCATAAGAGATGGTAATTTCAGATTTCAGAAACGCTTCTTTTATGGAAATCTAAACTTATTTGGGGGAAAAAGGTGAGTAGACGATGACTTACACAAAGGAAGTCCACTTTGATGATTTCAAAACAAGCAATGAAACAAAGCAAAGAATTTTAAGTGAGCTCGATAAACAATAATGTCATTAAATACCATATGGAGAAGTATTTTAAATTAATCGTCACCGAATAGCATTAGCTCACAGAAATGAAAGAATGTAAACAGTTCTTTATGCTGAATTAAGTAATTCAGTTATTTCCTCTTCCCACTGTTCATCTGTTTTATCTATTTGACCACTTACAAGTTCATAATCATTCAAAGAATTTATCAAATCTCGTTCCAAATCTTCTTCAACTCCTGAAAAGAGACCAGCTTTTAAACACAAAAAAAGGGATGACATACTAGACATGAGCAGTTTTCATTAAGATGCGAGAATGATAACTGGTTAGTACGACTGAAAGAATCAAGGTATAAGTTCAAATAAGCTGGAAACACAAGTCGCATATTGACAGGACAGCATAAATCGTAAGGATTACTATGCAGATTAAACTGGAAACCTACAATTAAATCTCTTTCAGAAGTTAGTTTAGTGGAGACCTAAAAAAAATCAAAACTTAAAAACTAATAGAAACGAACTTTCTTGTGTAGCACAGGCAATATTTTCACGAACTTCATCCAGCTTTTTATTCTTCGCTTCACTATCTTCATTTCCAGTTTCACCCCGCTTTTTCAAGCTAGTTTTTAAAAAGTCGTCTCCTTTTTTCATTTCTACTTCCTCTTGCGCTTTCTTGCCTTCTAAACCAGATGATTTTACGCTTTCATCCAGTTCGATGGCTCTTGAAGAAACGGGAAGTTCTGCGACGAGTGGACAGTTCTCTCCGAGAGCTGCCTGTCGCACTAGTGAAACGCGATAGAAGTAATTTCTCCAAAAACGTTCTTCATTCAATCTACAAAAAGTTTTGCAGTAGAAAAATTGGACAGTGTGTGAGATACAGATTTTACACTTTTAATGATGGCTTCTTCGGTAAATGCCTTATATCCGCCGATCTGACGAAACTTTCACATCCTTTGAAACGTGTACTACAATATTTTGAAATGTAAAATAAAACTTGACAAACTAACATCAAACAACAGTCGAAAACCGTTCATTAACATTGATCACTGATTTTCAGTAGCTGGAAACAAACTAGATCGTATGAACAAGTGAATGCAAAGAATACTTTTTTGGGACAAGCTGGAATCTAATTTTCCTCAAATTTGGATCATCTTCGAGTAAAGCCGCTGCCAACGACTGCATTTGTGCGAAATCAAAATTTGTCTCTGATGGAGGATCACGAATAAAATTCCGAGCATCCTGCAAGCGAACAAATGATATCAATTATACGTAAAGATATCAAAGGAATGATATCAATTCTTATATGCTTAAAAGATGCAGGAAATCCCACACAGCAGGGAAATGGTAACATTGTCTAGAGAAGAGGAAAAGATCTGAGATAGTAAAATTTAACCCAACAAAAAGGTATTCGCGATCTTGAAACGATTATCCACAATTTTATTATCTTAGAAACTGAGCGCAATCTACGGTTAAATCTGAAACAGTGAAATAACATAACGAAGACAGTAACCCAGGAATGGCAAACGGCTTAAAACTGATTTTAGTTTTATTGGAAGCAAAAAATAAATACAGTTATTTCAAAAGACAAAGCCGTTTAAAATTAAAGGTTAGTAAAAAAATTACCAATGAGAGTGATAAAATGTGCTTTTTAGCAACCCATTGGTCCGGCAGATCGGACCACGGCAATATACATGCTGTTAATTTATTTGCATTTACTTCATCTTTGAACTTCGCTTGCTCTTTATCCAAACTGCCAATTATTGTCTGCAAAAATTATGACGCCATAATCGAGACATAAATATAATTATAAACGGAAAGAACTTCGCTAGATTTTTACGAACAATTCCAATCTTGTTTAACTGAAAATAACAGACTGAGATTAAAGGATCATTTCACAATTTAGTTCACATGTCAAAGGGCCGGAGGTTTTTGGCACTGTAAAATAAGAAGAAGCAAATGTATGTGTTTTTCAAATTTAAGCAGCATTTGTTGAACACAGCATTTAAGCTCATACCTTTTCAGTGACAACATTTTGCAACTTTTTCGCGGTTTCTTCAGCAGTTATTGCGGCTTTCGCTGTTGCCTCCATTGCCAAAGAAAAGAAAGAATCTACAAATAAGAGGAGATAAAATTTAGCGCATCGAATGTAAATGTTTAATCCATTCATCTCCTTCGTTTTAGGTTTAGAATATTTTGGCAAACTGCAATAAAACCTCTCTATTTGTTAGCCAATTAAGCCTCCATCAATTTTATAGAAGAGCTTCTGTAACACAATCATTTCCTGTGACATAATTTTGACGTCAAAACCAATCTACCATGTAGCCAACAAACCTTCACGACATTGATAGGATGATTAACGGGATAAACCTGTAACAATATAATCATCCCGAGATCTGAATCTAAGAAAAATTCTTACTTGCATATTTCTTTGCAGCTTCGACAGTCGTAGGACCATTAGTTTCAAGCTTGCTTCGGTTTGATCCTTCAACATTCGACTTACCATCACTACCACTTTCAAATTTCACCATTAACCCATTATTTGATGAGATATTTTCTTTGTTTTCCACTTCTTTTAAGCTGATACCTTTCTCCTGAGTTTCCGTTTCAACATTTTCATCCTTGGATACAACATCGCCCAAAGTCATCTCTGGCTCAACATTATCCTCTGATGGTATATACATCATATCGGAGATTTTTTTAGTGACCTGTTTTGCTTGCTGCATCCACGACGTAATGTTATTCATTTCTTTAAAAAAGACCAGCATATATTTTAGTTCCCAAAATTGTTTATGATCCGAAAATGCGAAATACGTTACAGTTAGTCGACATTTTCCAGCTCCTTGTCAAGACATTCAATGCCAAACTATCGGGAAATACGGCACATCTGTTGCCACTACAGTTTAACAACACTATAGAGGAATCAAGTGATTTGATAGAAAGACCAATCGAATGGCATTTTAAAGCAAATATGAGACAGGTAGAAGATCGGGTTCTCAGTTCAGACCCAAAGAGATGGAGATTGTTTATTTTCTTCAAATTTCTATCAAATTATTTTGATGTAACTACTTCTCATTTGGTTTTTCTTTTTTTTTTCAGTATCCCAACGAATTAACAGCAATTACTAGATTTCAAAAGTTCAAAGAGACCAACCAGCTCACACAGACATATGTGAGGAAGAATGCAGAATGAAAAACTTGAATAAATCACAAAGCCCTTTCTACGCAAAAGATCATCAAGTGAGCTCCAATCGACAGTAACGAGCTGCACCACAAACATCTGCATAGATAACATTCCAAAGATAAAAAACCCGCTATCCGGTTTTGGTTAGTGGAACCAATCCATCCGCAATGGTGACTGTTCTGCTGGAAATAACCCACTTCATGATTATACTTAAAATAACACAAATCAAGGATACTCCAATCAAGGTAACTCACCAGACACTAACATCTAAGCGATCCGGATTCCCGACCTAACCTTAATCCATCGAAATGATATGTCATTGTCTCCATAAAAATGAAGTTTCCGCGCTGTCACTTTAAAATATATTTCAAGGTTAATGATTTACGTCTGGTATACATATTCGTAAATACAACTTCTCGAAACAAAACTTTAATTCACGTTGATGACTTGAAGTAACAGCAGATAAAAAGCATTCCAGATATATTCGAAATATTTCAACCAATATCAACGTCAAACAGTCATTCAAAAGGACAAAATGAACAAACGCTGAAGAGATTATTCGTCCTTCTAATAGTGACTATATCACCTAAAGCAGAAAGCTGGTATTCTGTAAGCAGATATAAAATTCTAAAATGAAATTGAAAACCGCTTGATACAAGATACTGTTACAGCTAATGGTTCTGTATTGCGCCCATTAGTCATCCGCTGTTTTGGTGGCAAAATAGGCAGAAGACTAGTCAATGCATTACAGAGCAATGATTTCTGCTAATTTTAAGAATGAATAAATTGAAGAAACTTCACAGGAAACGATTTGAGACACAGTAAGAAGCAATACATTTTTAAATCAGAGTAGTTTAGTGAAAGTAAGTTGATTATTTTATAGCGAACTAACAATAAGAAGTCTAAATGAATGAAAATCTAAATTAAAAGTACAAGTTAGTTTGGCAAACATTACAGAATCCAATCACAGCGGAGAATATAACCCCGTTAACCAAACTAATAGAAAGAGTTGGCAGTAATCCGAAAAGAATGTCACAAAACAATGAGATCAGCATCGTGCTGGCAATGTGTTGGGAGTGACTGAGTACTCCTACTACCTTCTCGATTTTCTGACACAAATGTTTCCAGAAATTTCAAACGTTGTAAATAACCGTCATCACCAGCTGGTTGTTTGAATATGACATCCGCTAGCAATTGTATTTGAGCTGAAACAAAATCAAACATTGAATTTTTATGTTATTGAGTGGAAATAGATATATCAAGAATACTGCGGATGCAAAGTAATAGAATCTTGCGCATTCGAAGTATTTCGTTCCCATGCAAGGCGTCAGTTTCGGATGAGTGTTAGACGAGACCATTTCCGAGTATTAAGATTGAATGATCTTAATACTCGGAAAATACTAAATTTGAATAAATCCTAAAAACGAAAATCGATGCTAAAATTTAGAATGCCACCAACTTATCATAACAAAAATTCAAAACCAGTCAAAAGTACAATGGTTTGACTCGAAAAACATGAAGCGATAAAGCAGTTGATACACTGAGAGTGGTAACGGTGTGCTACATTTGTATTGACAAGATGCTTGCTAGTGCTATATAGTGAGAATTTGGCAAGATTTATCGTGGTCTAACTGTTCAAGACAACTAATATGTGGAAAAAAAAAGCACAAGTCATGAAATCCCTTAAGTGTTCCCCTAACCAAGTTCTAATTTTAATTCATAGATGAAGCAAGCTTATTATGAGTCAATAAAATACAACTTCAAGATAATAATTACATGCAAAAGTAACTTATCCAGAAAACCCGAATTAAGCCAATGGAAGCATAATAGTTATCTCGAAAGAAAACATTGCGGGTAATGGGAGCGGAAAATTAGTGAAAAAAGAGAGCAGAAGAGAAATAACTAACTATTAGCAGTGCTATTCCGTTCCATTAACTCTGTAACAAAGCCAATAAAATAAATAAACATGTTGCGATTCTCGACAGGGAACTTTTCGATACATGACCAACAACTGTTGATATCACCGGCTGCCCGCAAACACTCAGTTTGTAAAGCTAGAGGTATTATAGATTCTGGAAATAAAAACTTTTAAGAAGACATGTGCTGAATTAATTACGCAAAAATCTGAAAAGAAAAAAGAGATTTCTGAAAACATAGAAAGATAATTCTTAATATCACCCGCTTCTTTTTAGCAGATGATCACAAAATTTCTGTTCTCAGTATATCTTTACGATTTTTATTGGAAACATCAAGATTAAAATTATCTATTTTGTGATAAAATAATACGACATACTAATATTTACAGTTAATATTCAACATAACTTCAATCTTTTAAAGTCATCAGTCATTCCTAGTGGAAAAAATTTGTTCTAGAGCTCTGACAATTACTAGTATCTATTTTTTGTGAAAATTAATTAAATTTAAAAGCATAATCAAAAAGATGAGATTTAAATTTGAAAAGAGATTTCTGCAACTTTATTCTTCAAAGAGGATTAGAAATAGTAAGGAAGTGGGATTGCGGTCAAACAAAGCATGATGCTTGAAAAATTTGAAAAAGTTTATGATATTTGAACAAAAACGCGAGTACCTTTAAAGGAAGTAATAAGCGTTAGCAAAGTATCGTACATACTGAAAGGTGATTTGCAATTTTCAACTGAAAAGTGAACAATTTATCAATCGACCAAAAGTTCCAAATTTCCCAGTAAATTCAAATTTATGGATGCAAGTTTTAGCAGATCTGTAAGAAATGAAGAAGCTATCAACCGATGAAAAGAAAGAAAGAGAAGGAAAGAATGGTGAAGAAGTTACACAGATTTGTCGGTTTCCCAGTATCTAAAGCATTTCGTAATGCTATGAATTCACTATGTGCGGAAGGACCATTAAAAGAAATTTTTTCTAAACCATTTTGCTTTAATGTTTCACTGATCCTAAAAACAGATTCCGGTACACCAGCCATAACAGCCGATACGAGTGATGTAGAACTGAAGGTCTGAAAATAAACTGAAAAGAAATTTCAAATCAAAAAAGAAGAGAGAAATAATTTTGCCATAAAGTACACTATAAATCAGTATTCAACACCACATGAACTATAGCCAGAACTTACGCCGCAATCACTAATTCTCTTTTCCAAAAGTTTTCCGTTAATCTAACATCCAGTATGACTAGGAGTTCGTTGTTAACTAATAAATATTTGCTCACTCAATCCATTTAAACTAGTATTGTTCTCTCAATGAGTAATCGTGTTATCTGGAAGTATCAAACTAAAGCCACTTTTTCAGTTATTTGATTCTTGCGTTTTTCTCACAGATTTGTATTCCCTTTAACATAGCAACAATTTTGCTCAATGCAAACCAGATTTCATACCAAATTAACAAGTTCGGATGCAGATGTTTCCTTTTTTTCCTTACGAATGAGCTGAATAAACGATGAACCAAAAGCACTATGTTGATACTGAGCCGAAACAGTGACAAAATAATGCCTTCCGTGGTGCAATCGAAGTACCAGAATTTCCGACAGCTTCCCATCTTCACTCATCGTCCATGCTACTGCTTTATCAATCAAAATCTATAAAGGGGCAAAAAGTTTATTTTCAATTTTACAAACATACCTAAACGTTACAATTTATAATCCATACCACAGCACATTAAATCATCGTCACATATAGCTTTGTTCAGAGTGAGATTGCATTAATGTTGAAAGAGGAAAATGAAGAGGTAATTTTATCTGTCACAAGATAAATTAATTCTGCAAAATTCTGCAACTGTTTAACGAAAACTGCATGTAATAAAAACCTGCAAACTAATGGTACAGCAGGCACCCGGTTGAAGTCTCGAATTGGGTGGCGTAACAGAGAGCCAAGGTTCACAAAGTGCAGCACGGTTTGGTCTCGCGCCAAACGAAAATGAAATTTTCGTTTTACCCGTATTTTTAATTGTCAGTATCTTGGATGCACTTTGGAAAAAGTACACTTTACCGAAATCCACCTGAAAAGTTTAACTAATTACAAACAATAGTACAGAAAGCCCCTAGAAAACGATCACTGTCACCTGGGACCAGATTTTTTAGTGGTAAGTTATAAAACTGTTTACGGAAGTGATAAATTCTGATACATACATCAGATCGTAATTAGTAATTGAAGCCCATCAGTTAAGAAATGTCTTTAATTTACTTCGCTTTGCGATAATTCAATCTGCGGAAGTGCTTCATTTGCACGCCGATCTGCTTCCCGTATAGCTTCTTCCAAGCAAGCATCCCGTTTAGCTTCATCGATATTTCGTATTTCCACATGAAATATGGACCGCACTGGTTTGTGGTCTGAAAACACCACCGATTCCACACTTTCATAAAACTGCTGCCTGACATTCACTCCATCACGATTCCACCATAAAATTCGATCACACCAAGCTGGACAACGACATTTCTCACTAGAACATAACTATTTAATTGCATAATAAATAAAAAGAATATGTAAACAATAATACTGCATTAGTTGTATTAATAATACTGTATTCTACTTTAAAAAGAATGGCACATCCATAAAATTCAAAGATGAAGTATATAGATAAGGAGAACCCCGGCAAGAAATTAAAGTAAAATGAAGTAAAATAAATCTTACAATATGCTCAAATCTATCATATCACCTTGATTAATGATGAATAACAGAGCCCGACGAGTTGTATAAGCTTTAATTTGCACTTTTATTATTTCGCAATACTAATAAAGAGGTATAACACCGATCTGAAGTCACATTAGAAATGAAAACGAAATCCTAACCTGGTATCCCATCTTGTTGTTCCCGGGTCATATTTATATGTGGGGCGAAAATTTAAAACGTCTGGTTCTTTAAAATCAACGAATATATGGTTAAGCTTTTTCTGATTCTTTAGCTGAAAAAAAAATCCAAAGTATACAAGTTTACATATAACTGATATCCAAAACTATCTAATTTTATATGAATTATTGCAAAAGGTCGAATCACTAAAACTTCAAAATATCATTTTCAGATTTCGAATATAGAAATAAAATCATGAAAGGAAAACCATGTTAACATCTGTGCTTTATGATAGGTGCTGCTATATTTTTAGAAGCTCACCTGATCAAACACTATCATATCTCTAAATGCATTCTCGTCAGCGCAAAGACGTCGAAAATCATCAGTACTCAAATCATTATTAGTTTCCAGACGAAAATTCATATCACCAAACCAGAATATGACATCGTGATCAAACAGACTTTTGTTACTTTTCGGAAAGCGAATCTGTGATATTTCCCTAAAAAAGTGGAAGGCCTGATATTATTATGAATTGGAAGGCCTGGTATTATTATAAACTCCTATGCATCGTATCTAGTTTTAAATGTAGATTTACAAATATGACCACCCACCATAGAATCATTTATTTCATCGCCTAGGCTACCTGTAATCCTGATTTCGTTTTTCCAATTCTTCCTGTCCAGCAGCAAAATGAGAATTCACGAAACAAAGATAGCTATCGTTGATCTGTAAACTGACTGCCACACCGCCCTAAAGTAATCTTCAGAACTAAAACAGAAACAACGGAATAAAAAAAAAAATAAAATGAAATATTTCCATAAAAAAAAAGAGAAAAAGCTGGTGCTGGTAGCTTTTTCTTACTCATTATAGAAAAAAGTGAAACTACTTCGATAATAATTTAGTATTAAAAAAGTAATTTGAGAACATGAAGAATGTATGAAAAGTAACTAAGAACAGTAGCCAAAAAAATAAAAATTAATTAACACCAGAAAATGAAATTACATAGGAAAATGCGTTAATTAATGCTTGCTTATTGTTCATATTACTTCAAAATGACCATTATTTTCAAAATGATTAGTTCCTATATACTTACCTTATTACCCATACGACCCAATAATGGGAAACCAGTCGGTACAACTTCAACATCAACTGCTGCATCTTCAACTCGAACTTTACAATCAATGCGACGATAAATCACCAGCAGAATGCCAACCAAACGTACTTCTTGGATCTGTAAAAAATACCTTAAATAAATAGGGTAACATATACACGGTACAAGTACTACAACTACATTACCAGGCATATATGAATCAAAAGTCGACAGCAGGACAAAGCTGACAAGCTTAGATCTTTTTCAAGCCATAATGAAATAAGGAAAAATGAATGCAATTATACAAAATTTAAGAATCTAATACCAGAATGTAGCCGGTGGAAGTAGGAAGAGACTTCTGGATGATAATCTGCCATCCAGAATGACGTGCTGAAGTATTCATGAGGAAAGCCTGGGGTGAAAGATCCATTTCTTGTAATCTGAAAAAACATTTCGTTAAGATAATTCATTACAGAAATTTCTTTCTAATTTAAAATTGTTGTTCGTAATGCAGAAATTTATCATTGGAACTCACAATAAATGTCCGTTTTGCAATTACATCTAATGATTCAAAATCGCGAGAAAGCTCTGAATTTAGCTTCTAAACGTTGAACTTTTATGCAAAAGAACTTTTTTCAGTTTTAGCCTATTTCCTTTTAATATGTTGCAGTGTATATTGCTTTTCACATGTTTTTCAGTCTTAGCCTATTTCCTTCTAATATGTTGCAGTGTATATTTGTTTTGTATTCAAAACGGTAAACAGAGCATTCATTAAAAGAGGCATCACTGAAACAGTAGAATTCGTAAAAAATAAGTCATCAAACTATTGGAAAAGATAACTATTCCAGGGAAGGATAAATTTATTTCTGAAATTTCTTATTGAAAGCAAAAAAAATAACCCAATAACGTAAAAATCTGGCGCAGATACTCCGCCGCATGTTAACCAATTCGACAAATCTTCAAGTGCTGGCATTCGGCCGTTAACATTGAATGTCGTAATGAATATTGACGTTGTGATATACGTAGAATACCTTCAAATGAACAAGCAAGCCCAATCACTGATAAATATAAATTTATCTCACCGATGAGAATAATATGAATCATGAGCAGTATTGAACTGGAGAAAGGGGCAATGGGAAATATCGCGTCTTCTCGTATCACAGTGATAGGAACATTAAACGCAGTAAATGCCATCAAAGAAAAAATCATAATAGGAAATACGTATAGGTCAGCTGTCAACAACAAAGGTAATCGCAATCATAACTTGTTACTTACTGTGAAGAATGTTAGATTTACGGCAAATAATTTCGAATTTCGCAAAAAATAAACTAACCTGTTTTCCCAATCACGCATGACCTCCTCAATGTCATCTCGACGAGGAAGCGCTGAAGATGCGATGTTCCTAGTAGTGTAGAAGGTCATTTTCCAACCATATTTTCCATCAATTTTCTTATAAATCTGTGGAAAGCATTTTGAATCTTCCGCACAACTGATGCTTAAAAAAAGGAATTGGAATTAGGCCAAATATGGTATTGCTGAACAATCGTTCCCAGCACGAAAAAGTATATTACACTTAATGAGCAAAATCGGCGTAAAAGGAACAAAATGTAAATAAATTAATAAATTGTTTGAAGGCCAAAAATGAGACACGACAAATCAATCCAGTTCAGTTGCGTAAATATGAAGTGTATATGTGCTATGCATATGTATCATTACGGGCACGATTCTTAATCACTATAATGATCATAAACGTATTGCTAAAACAATAGTCATTAAGTTAATCGCATTACATAAAATAATTTTCTTTTAATCTAATCAACCGAGATGTGGTTTCGTTAGTATTTCTGACTATTATTGATGAATCATTTCGTAGCACCGAGCAACTCACACTGCCTGACAATGAGGAGATTCTCAGATAACTCACCATAAATTACATTCTAAAAAGTTATGTAGTTTTCAGGAGGATGACATTTGTTGTGTATTCGAAAAAAAGAAGAAAAAACAAAACAAAACAAAATAAAAACGATATTATATTCGGAGGAATTATGAAACCTTCATCTATTTCGGTTGCAGCCATCTAAATTGCTAAATCAAAAAACCCATAGTTCTGGAATCTGATCCCTCAAAAAAATTTTTCCTCGGCTGGTCTAAAGTTAAAAGTTTCTAACCAATATGCTGACCAAAATCGCTTAACCAGCAAATGGTCTCAAAATTCAGCTTCCAATAATCTGGCAAACTAGTAGTTTGGCAGCATTAGTTGAAAATTAGCATGCAAAATTTGGAAAGTCGTAGAGATCAATAACTGAATTAATCTTTTCAATTAATTGCAATGATTTGAACTATGCATAATTTTAAAAAAAAAATACATCACAACGTCAAATCCAATTATAATTTCACTCTCTTTTTCTTCCTCCTTATCACGAGAAATCATTGCAACGACGACCTGCTTCTCTGAATGCTCTTCGATAAGCTTTTTCATATTCGGCTAAATCAATTTCTCGTACACCCAAGTAAAAAAGAGCCCTAACTGGCCTATGATCTGAAAATTTGATAGATGGTATGCTGTCGTAAAATTTCTGTCTGATGTGAATCCCCTTCTGATTCCACCATAAAATCCGATCGCACCAAGCCGGAACACGTTTTTTTTTGCTGAAAAAGAGTCATGGAAATGAAGTGATTTGAGAATTTATTTCACTATGCAAATGAAGCGATAATCAACCTGGAGAACGGCTGGAAACTAAGAAAGCGAGAGATATGAGATATGTCTACATATATCTTACACAGTTACAAGCAAGGAGAAAAAACAACACTTTGAAATAATATAACGAACCCACAGTATACAAACTTGAGAGACCCAGATGGCATGTAGCTCTACCCGGATCATAACAAAGACAGTGGGTAACCAATACTCGAAAAGTTCGAACAATTTCATCAAATAATGCATTTCGAGGAGTTTAAATAAAATGGTTCATAATTAACCTATGATGAAGAAAATAGAAGAAATCAATGAAAAGCCATTTGGCACGACCTGCTATCCCATTTGTCGGAATTAATATCATATTTGAAAGTTGGACGAAAATCCAAAACTTCCGGTTCTTTGAAATTTTTAAATATAATTTTGAGTTTCATCGCTCTCTTAAGCTAAACATTTTCGCACTGTTAGAAATAATACAGAGATAGAGTAATATCACAATGAAAAATCAAACTGCCCGTCCAACATGTTAAGCAGCCATTAAATACTTTCACTAGAGCAAACCTGGAAAACATACCAAATTTTATAACCTTCTGCTTTTTTTTCTGCAAAAACTCTATTTCTGGACGGTAACTATTATGTTAAATATTAAAAAAGAAATTCCCAGTAATGTTGAACATATTAAAGAGCACTGAAGTAAACTAGTGCTAAAAAGTACATTGCTGTTGATGCTTTAAACATGCAAAACTATTGGCAAGTTTCTTAAAATTTTATTCTAGTACATATACTGAAATCATACATTCCGCATAACAGTTCTTATTTGAATACGTTATAACAAAGCTTCAGTGGTGAATGACTGCTTGATTTGTAGAAGCCAAAATTTAATATTTTATTTTATAATTTATACACTACGATTCAAATCGAATTCGTTTTTATGCTCCAAAAAAATTGTCTCACAAAAAATAAAGTTCAGGACCTCGAAATATATCAATACTCCTTTAAACCAGTCATCGAAAAAATCATCCAATAATTGGAAATTTCCGAGTTAAAGGTTAATTTACCTGATCGTAAACAATCATGTCTCTGAATGCATCATCATCATTGCATAATTCACGTAATTCATTGTTGCTCATACCATATGCAGTGTCCAGGCGAAAATTCAAATCACCAAACCAAAAAACAGCATCATGTTCGAAAAGTGTTATACCATTTCGATGAAAACGTATACGTTCGACGATATGTCTTAAATTTAGCAAAATTTCATAGACATATTGTAATGCTTCTAGAAATCAAAAATGACTTCTCTTAACAACTTAAGTTCGGAATTTAAAGAAAAATTTTTGATTTCAAAACTTGAACATACTTATAATCCATGATGCGTTTTTCATTTCCTTCAATATGAGCGGCGAAGTGTCCGTTCACGAAGCAAACTGCTGTATCATTCATATACATGCTGATCGCAACAGCACCCTATGAATCCAATTTTACCAAAAAACTTCATATTACGAAAGAACAATTATATCTTTTAAAATTCCGCACATAAAACCATTAATGATTCGTCAAAACTGTTTTGCCTTTCGTCACCTGTGGAATTATCGCTAAACGTAAGTAAGCGTAATTAAATATTTAGCATGCAATTATTTCCTGGAAAACAATTGTCACATTATTCCATCGGAAATGATCAAAAATTTAACAATGCTATATAGCGATTGTAAAAAATGTCTCAGTTAGGAAATATAACGAAATATCTTTTCGTTTAATGTATATGTTCTACTGTGCTTCCACATTCATCTACAAATTAAATAGATACCGAAAACTATACCTTATCACTCAGAACTGTGCCAAGTGCATTATATCGAGCGGTCGGTATTACAATTGCCTCAATTTCGGATGGACGTGCTTTGATTTTACTGCCTACACGTCGGTAAATCACCAACAGTATACCCACCAATCGTATTTCACCTATCTGAATCCATTTAAAAGACTACCAATTAAAAATTGGAAATAAAAAAAAGGAAACCACGATTTTGAGAATAAAAAGGAAAAACTAACCAGATCATATTCAATGTCTTTAGGAAAAGATTTTGCAATAATGACTTTCCATTCCGCGTGTCGTGTTGATGTATTCATTATGAAAGCTTGTCGCGACAAATCCATTTCTTGAAGCCTGCAAGTCAATACCAGTGGAAATACTAGGCAATAGATAATGTTCAATTCAAGGGGGAAACCGGAAAGTTCTAAAAATACACTACAATGCCATCTTGAAAGGAAAAATTGTTTTCAAATGATTCACTTCCCTTTATTTTTTAATGTAAGTAACAAACCCAATAACGTAAAAGTCAGGTGGAAGAATGCCTTCACAACTTAACCATCCCGGTATTCCATCCAGTCTTGGTGTACGCCCGTTAACGTTGAATGTGGTAATGAATATTGATGATGTCCGATAAGACGAATATCTGGAACGGATTAAATCTTATTTCTGAGCTTTGTATTCAGCACCTCTCCATAATAGAAACAAACGATCTCAACAACTCACAATTCTTACGACTTCGACTAATAGTTGAATTACACCAAAAATGGTTATACATGGCAACACTAGCACTATACAAATTACAATTTTAGTAAAATAGGACTAAAAAAATGAATTCTATGCTAGGATGATGACTTTACGTACATGGGCTCAAAATCAGACAAAAATGTGTTGATATCGAGACGACCTGATGAAGCATGCATAGCATAATCTCTGGCGACATTTGCTTCTCCAACCTTATTTGTCCTTCGATTACGAATTTTCCTACGTCTACATTCTTTACTGCAAATGTGACTTAATCATTGGTTTCATTATACCAGAATCACATCGTCTTCTTAGAGAACCTGAGCAACTTTTTCTCCATTTCTTCACCATATAAGCTTTAATCATTTAATCATTGGTTTGTAATCACTATTCCCTTATGGAAATATCATTATGATTGAATGAAATGGTTGATTGAACACATGAAACAATCACATAAGCTTAAAACAGTTCACTGACAAGAATTCGTAAGGTTTACTGAATCACTTGGTTTACTTTATTATAAACAAATTGCATAAAAATTTTCGACGGACGATCACATTTTTACCACACACCCCTGCAGGTGTTATTTTAAAAGCAAATTCAACCAAATCTTATTCTGATGATACGTGCACTTTTTGCCTAAAGTCAAGCTATTAGGATTAATTCATTTTGTTCTAAAACTCGTTTGAAAAAAACAAATCCTAGACCCAACAAAATTCCAAAACCCAATAGCTCAAAAACATAACGACCGTAGGATAGTAAGAGTGATAGCTAATAAGGTTAAGAACGAGATTTCGAAAGTAGCGCAGTAAGATCACAAGACCGAAACCGCAAAGTCGTGCCATAATTCTGATCTGATACCGTGCATCCCAAATTTCTGAAGCAAAACCAATCCCACCCAGGTCCTGCTGGCCTCAGATGCCTTTTTCAGTACTCAAATTTTCCTTTTTTATCACTTCATAATTTAGGCTTTGCAATTACAAGAGTAAGGAGCAGTACTTATAGCTCACAAAACTCACGAGGCGACCCGACGACTACTCTTTCTGTTTTCGATACACATTGCTGTGCCAGTGCTGGTGAAAAATTGATGTCTAATTTGAATCTAAAGAATCTTATGTAGACATACTAATATTTAAATTTCTGGCGATGGAAAACCATGCAAATTATCAGCCAGGAAATGGAATCTGCACATCTATCAAGGCTGACGTGTTTCTCCAATGATTTAGATGTGTAAAAAAAAAAAAAAAAAAAGAAAAAATGAAGCCAATTCCCTCATGTTCTTCGCTTCCAAATTATACTTAAACCAAGCCTTTCAAGTGCAATTAGTCCAATTACTTATTAAAATTTATGCTGATATTCATGAATGAATTTATGGTGCAGCTGCAGATAAACGATATGGTAGGTACATCATATCGACAACGGCCGTTTTTTCGAATATCAAGTATAGTACACCGCTTAAATACTTTATTTAAGATTGCAGCCAGAAAAATACAAAAGTTAGATCCTATTTTTGGTCCTAAATAGGACCAAAAATAAAAATTTAGCGCACAGTTAATGTAGGATAATTTTGATAACTAGAAGAATGTAAGTCCAAAAAGAATAATTACGAAAAAATAAAAAAAAAGACGCAAATATACGCCTTGAAAACAGTAACACTCTTGGAGGGAAATGATGTGGAAACGAAAAATATGATCTGCTGGGAATGCTCATTAAAGCTGCAAATACTGGATACAAGTGCTGCTTCATCTTCTTTTAGCTCATGTTTACACGAACTTCCGTCCTAATAACCCCTACTAAAATTGATGGGTTCTCCAACTACCGACTGAAAACTTTAGAAAAGGCAAAAAACAGAAAAGCTGAAGAGTGTTACAAGTATGAAGTTTTCTTAATAGATACTTCGCTGAGAACAAGAATGAAATTGAAAAAATAAACACGGGAAAGAACAATTGTGTTGAAAATTTCATTAGCTGATATAAATTTTACATGAAAATCGAAATTTGAAAATTCATGGCTTCCTCCATGACGAATTTCAATGTTCCGGGATGAGTTCTACGTAACGCGATCCTGAAATCCATAAATTGACATTTCGTAAAAAAGTATGGAAATGCAAATAATAACATTATCATCGTCCATCACTTACGACATAAGAAAGCTAAATCAACAGAAACGAATGCGAAATAAAACTCTCATTACCTCTTTTGGATCATAAATTTAAGATTTGAAGACTGAGCCCAATGAACTTTATTGAGTAATATTTGTTCGAAATTTCAAACAGCAAAGACATACCCATATAATTTCGATTGCGTTGCATCGCAGCATCAAAATCTGCTCGATTTCTGAACTCGACAATTGCCTCACCACTAGGACGATCCGTTCCATATTCATAGAGCACATCAATCGATGCTGGTCGCAGCGGTTGGAAGAACTAAATTTAAACAATGGACAACTTCAACAGATTAATAAAAGTCATAAAAAATTTTTTAGTCAGTGAATGCATTGATAGTCAATAAATATAACTAGTATTAACCAGATAAAAAATTGTTCAAACATTCCCATCCTTTTCGTATAAGGATTCGATTGGAAGCGACATTAGAAAAAGAATAAAAAACTGCAACTATCACTCGCAACCATGAACTCATATCCTTAATAACGATTAATAATAATTATCTGTTAATTATTAGATGCCAATGAAAACTAATAAAGTCAATATACTCCAGCAAATTGTTTAAAATGAATGAAATCATTGCAAACCGAACCCAAAATCCTGAACATCAATCCAAAAAAAATTGAACCAACCAATCGACAGAAATGTGCGGACCCTTTACAACCAACCAGGCAGCCAATGTCACCTCCGAACATAAGCAGAAGGATGTCCCCAATACGAAACATCACTATTCACCAGATCCCATTTCCCTCATATCCAGATACTTCTTTTTAACCTATTCTAGGTACGTAAATATACTTTTTACTATTGCAACTTACATCGATTATGTCGCGTTCCGTGGCCCGATATGGAAGACCGCGCATCCGTATACAGTATTCCGGTGGCGGCGTCGTATAACGACGCCGCGGTGGTGAATACCCCCTATGGCCACCCATCGGCGGTTCATCTCTCCAACCCCGTCGCATCGGTCCTCCACCACCACGTCCACCACCGTACCCATCATCATAACCGTCGCCACCACCACCGTATCTGTCGGCCCATACTTCTGCAACCCCCCGTTCACATTCACATTTAATACCCAAAACAGAACCATAGCTTAGCAGATTTCCGAATATTTTCCAAGGTCGCAGCGATCCCCGAAATTCCCAGATTTCCAGCAAAGCCCAAAACATTCAGACCTGATAGACCGCTAAACAAGTTACTTGTTCCCAATCAGCCATTACAGAATCCATGATGGCTTCCATAAGCAAATAACCGTTTTTTCCCAAACCTTGAACCGACGACCCTTTTCATCAATTCACACTGAGTCGATCATTTCATATTTGATTGTCACTTTTAGAAATCTATAAATGAACAAACCATTTCGATGCATTCTGGAATCACGATAACCACGGTCAGCACCTGGACGATCATATGGCAGTCCTCTCGGGCGTCGATCTCTCTCCCATCCTCGACCACCGCTACCGTACGGATCAAGACCCCCATCCAAAGCTCGAAGCATTTCACCATAAGATGACGGATATATGTCCACATATCTTAGCGACGAAATATGATAAACTTCAACAAAAAATCAAGCAAACAACCAGATTTAGTACCTCAATAAACTGCCCTTGTCAAATATTAAAAATATCGCTGACAGTTATACCTATTGGACACGATGCTCGAAAGTTGTTACATATTTGTTTTTGTAACAAAGCACTGAGATTTAAACATTAAGAATAAACCAGTAAGAGAACAATACCTATGCTGAATGTATTCCTTATTTTTAGCAAGAGCTTTGGAGGCCGAGTCTTCATCAGTGAATGCAACGAAAGCCTCGCCCTTTGGCTTTCCACTGTAACGATCGTAAGTCATAACAATACCTGAAGGAATTGGCAAATATTCTCCTATATTAGAAATTCACGCTGTCAGCCAGACTTCAAACATTGTATGCCTACAGTATGATTTAACTGCATCTGTTGTTAAATCAGACTGTAAGCTTTCCGGAGCACATCAATGAAGATTCAATTAAAATTAGCAATGAAAAATTTTACAGCCGTTGAAGTACCGCTGCTATAATCAGATACAAGTATCACTACAGTAATAAGAACTGTATCATAAAGAAATGGATTCATTGAACAAGAACTAATTGAATCTGATATAAATTAGAAAATACCTCTATCGGCTATTTCTAGTGGTTCGAAGAAACGCACTATTTCTTCCTTAGTGCAACCATATGGTAATCCTCCTAATCTAACGATAGATGTCTCACGGCCAGGCAAATTTGGATCTGCCACTGGTCCTCCGTATCGTCGGTCGCCATCATCATAATCCGATTCCATCGAGGATACTTGTTGAAGCTTAAACATACTCAGACATCATGAAAAAAGTTCAATATTGTGGGATATAACAAATATATTAGGACGAAATGTCTCAAAAATTTCATTAAAACTTCTAGTAATAACGGATCTGTCTTTACATATGCTAAAATTCAGCTTCAAAACCTATTTCAGCAACATCGTGAGAAATTATCACGTGGGTTTTTCGCGCAGGAATTCACAAAAATAGCAAAGACGATTAGTAACGTTACAAAACGTGTTCGAACAAAATAGCCTTCTCTAAGTGAGAAAGACGAATCAGCAATGAAAATGGCAAGCAACAAAATGAACGGAACAGATAAAGGTAGAATGTATATAATGCATTCGTTAACACAGGAAGTATGAAGAAATATGATCTAACATATAGGAACAGCTCGAGTCATTCAAGTGTTCAAAGAAATACTCGAGTTACTTGTTAAGGAGTCAAATCTCATATCTTATTTCAATCCGTATATATTACTTCTTAAAATAAATCCCTCAATGAAAATCACCGCTTTAAGCACTAGTGAGCTGAAGGATTCCGAAAATAAGAAAACATCTACCATCACAATAACGACAATGTATTTAAATGAATAAATCAACAGACTAACCTCCACATACCGTTTACCAATATATTTCTTGTCTTTTGTTAAAGCAAAGTCATAATCTTCTCGACTGCTAAATACAACATATCCTTCACCGCTTGCACGCCCATCACGATCTTTTGTCAGCTTTATCTGAGTGATTGATCTTGCCGCTTCTGAAGACGAAACTTAAATCAAATTTGGTGGACTTCATTCACGACCAAAATTAATCACAGTATAACTCGTATGCCATTAAGTTTTATAAGAATCACTTGATATGCAGTCCGTCTTTTTCACAATAAGTCCGCCATTTCAATTTCATTTTCCATCTTGATCCTAAGACTCACAACAATTTTCCACATCAATTTCTATCTTCATCCTGATGCTAAGATTTCCTTAGTCAAGGTACAAGAGCTAAGAAGCTACTTGTCCATGTATTTCTTTTAGTGGAATGAAGGAACTGATACTTTTGACGATAGGTGTGGGATTCATAAATTAGCATCCAGATATCTTTCATGTCAAGTTATAAAGTATATTCTGAGGTATTAACAGAAATTTCTCTCTACATCTGATGCAAAGCAGTACAAGAGTGAAATATGAAACCGATAAATTTAACCATACGACCTCCTCAAATCGTCAATTCAATGTATCTCCAATTTCCCTAATAGTAATCCTACCTATATATTTAGCTTAATGAAGTGAAGAATAAAACGATCAACTCACCCCCAAAAAATTCACGTAGATCATCCTCTGTACAAGACCATGGCAGTCCGCGACATTTCATTATGAAATCCGTATCCGGCATTTTGCTTTACTTTCAGTGGATAAAATACTAGAAAAAAACCTACCATAAACGTCAAAAAATGTTTGTAAACAAAATACAATAAACGGAATTTACCAATGCTTCCCAAATCAGAGCGACAACATATCTGGAAATCCCAGAAAAGCATCTAATATTTAACGCAACCTCTCAATGAAAACTTATACTCAATCGGACACACAGTGTACCGACTACTGATGAAAACGATTAGTTGATCAGTGAAGACCTGATTAACTTTCTGCTGCAATCCCAGATCTTTATCGACAACCTAACTCTTTATTTCTACTGATGGCCATGGAAGATTGATGTTTTGAATTTCATTTTTCAACAGTTTTCAAAGTTTCGATCGAAAAATTCACAAATATTTCGCAAAACTCTATGAGATTCTTTTAAATCATAAAAATATCAAATACATTATTGCAGCAAAGCTTGGAATAAATGTAAAGTGGCATTTCATTAATAATTTTATTTCAGATATATTCAGGTATATTTCGATTGCCTTCTCGTTTTCCCGGTCAGTGAGTTATTAATTTCCTTAGAAATTGTAAAAATACAGAAGAATTTCAGGAGAAATGCAGAAGAATTTTTTTTTTACGAAGCACTAATATTTTGAATGGAAGTAAGCTGTAGAAATAATCACTTGTCAAAGTTAATTTCAGATTGTGAATTTATTAAGCCAATATATATAAAGAGATAAATATTCAGAAAGCATAATTTCAAAATTTACAAAATAATTTGCAAGTTCGAAGAATTTTGAAATTATATTATGAAGACGAATGTTAATCTTATTCTTCAATCATCATACTAAATTCAGATTTTGCTGTTTAGGATGTTGTAAATACAAAAATAAAGTATTAAATGAATGTTAGGAGAACAAAAATATGCCAAATCCATACAGATGAACTACCGTTCATCCATCACAAAATTATATAATGTGAAAACAGTTCTACTTCCAGAACATCGATTAATCGGCGACAATAATACAAATTTAGAAGGTGTCACAGATATTGCGAAAACATCCGAAATTCGAAGATATCTCAAATTTCAACAGGTGATACAAAAAGTTCCGATTGGGTTTCAGATTTCATATTTCTTCCAACACGAATTTTAGGACAAATGTTGTGAAAATCTGTTCGATGGATTTTGGAAGAGTTTATTTTGTCGGAAAACAAAGGCCAGAAAATGATAAAGAAAAAAAACGGCGCAATGTTTCCTAAAAGTTAATTTAAAAATGAAAAAGAACAAAAATAATCTAAATTGAGCTCTGCTTTATTCATTTTTGTATTCATTTTCAAATGAATCCATTTTAATGGTTTTTATGAATGGCATGTTATAAACTTAACGCTGGAAGCATTCTGCAAAAAATTCCGCCAGCATGGTGAACAGATGTAGACGAGGCCAAAATAGGCTATGGTTTGCATCTGGATAGATCTGCAAATTAAATTACTATATTTGTTTTAATTTAGGTTGAAAAATTCATTGTAGGAAAGTTTAGCTTTTTTCCGGAGATCAAAAGTTATGGTCTTAAGAAAGAATAAGACTTGAGGTTAAAAATCAAGAAGATTAAAATTTAAAGGTAGAAGGTTACTGTTATAAAACTGTACGAACAATAACATTAGCCGAATAGAAATACCAGGCTATTTTGATGTTTTCGCAAAAAAGGACGTATTTATTCAACTCAGTGATTGATTTAGAACAGCGAACATGTCATTTTAATAAAATATAAAAAAGTGCTAACCGAATTAAGAAAGTATTTCAGGATCTTTCGAAATTTTAACTTTTAAACTTTTGAATCCCTGAATCTCTTGAAACTTTCCGTACCTATACTGTCTGTTGTCCTGATAATTGAAATTTAAAATTTATAAAAACAAACCATAAGTTGGAATTGTATATTCGCTTCACCCAGTGCTTTTATCAGTTGTGCAGAATTCTGCAGATGGACGTTATCTACAAGCAACAACTAAATTATATAGGAAGAATGATTATTTAAAATTAGTTTCGGTGGTTATCTAAATTTGAGTAAAAGTGTATTAATGAACAAAGAAGATGACTTAGAGCTCTGAAAATTATCACGAAAATGATCACTACATTATGTAAAGTTCAGCTGCAAACTTTGGAATCACTGAATACCTCGAAATTTTCTATTAAAAAGCCAGAAAGGCCAGAATATCAAGAATAGTATTCTAAGGATTACTTCTCAACTGCCGTATCAAGCAGAGTAATTGCAAGAGTATATCTTGCAAGTGAAAGTAAGGAACTAATGCAGTAAGAATCCGAACATAAGTAAGGAAATTTTCTTACCATCAGAAATTCCATGTACCAGCAAAAACTGCACTTCTTTGAACATGCTAACATTTCTGATAAGACTGGCTTGTTCGTATGCATGCTCACTTGCATCACCCATATAACGTTCTGTGTATGTGGCATCTGCAAGCGCTAATCTCGTTTTTGCAAGAATGTCTCCAATGTTTCTTAACATGGCTTATCATTGTGTTTATTTTGAACCTTACCATAAAACTTGAAATCCGTAACAGGTGCAATACTCACAGCACATTTGAACAAATGGCTCGTGTCGCGTTCGACCACATGAGCTGTGACAAATCCACCATAAGACTGTAATAGCGAACTATGGTTATAATAAGTGCAACACATATCCTTTCACTCTAGCATGTATGTTTAATTAATTTTAATTGAATGAAGTATCGTAGAAAAGCTCTTATTAGATTTTGACCAATGTTATATTGAAGTTCCGTGGGGCGAGGATTTTTTTTGATTTATAATTTTTGTTGGGTTTCAATTGTTGATTCTTTTTTTATTTTTTAATTATCTGTACGATTTAAAGTGATTGTAAATGCCTTGCAGAACTGATAAGAGACACTTACCCATCCCCAGATTGCAATATGCTTCAAATCAATAAATCGATGTTTGGAAGCTAAGATTCTGAAAGGAAATAACAGCGATTCGAATAATCAAAAAATTGAAATTTCGGGATTTCAAAGACTTCAGAGTTTCAAAAAAATCAAACCATTTGAAATCATAACAGAATCCTCTTTTTTTTATCCGAATTTCTGGAGATAACAAGGGAATGACTAGAAGGACCTACTTCATTGCTTCAATTTGATCATCAATTTCTACCGTTCCTAAATTGCCATATAATGGTTCTTTATATTTCCATCCTCTCATGCCAGATCCACGACCATCAATGTAAACGACAATATACTTTGTATTAGTTGCTAGAAACATATCCATTGTGTTTGGTTTTGTCTCTTCAGTAACCTTTTGTGAACCTGGTCCTGCATACCTATAAAAAGCCTGAGAAAATAAGACTAAAATATTATTTCAGTAATAAAACTAAACCAATAGTAATGTAAAGTAATTACGGTAAAAAAGGAAAAAACAAGATAGGATGAAAACAAATTAAAAACCAACACGGAAAGAATGACTGGATATTTGGTATCAATATTTGTTTGATCGAAACCTGGCGGTAATAGCATTTTCACGATTGCTACTGCAACATTAACTTCACTTTCCCATCTCATTTATTGCTGTATAATTATTTAATATTTGAGAATATCCAATCATTTTCAACTCATTCAATAACCGTATTCTCATTTGACATTCGGTCAAGACCGGCATTGACCTCAGAATTTATCTAATATTTGATAGAATGATTTGAAAAGCAAAAGAATGTAGCACTTGCCATATCCATTACGCAAAGTGACATTTTCGTATCGCGTTGTAGCGAGAGCTCTCTCGTTGTACTTTTGTTCCAGATCCTTCCATTCTGTCAATTCTTCGACTACAAAGTAATATGAGGTATGACTTTGATTTCAAACAGTAATGTCAAGTATGATATGAAGACCTTTCTTCTCTCTTTAATGTAGCGACATAAGTTTCTGTTTACGGTTTAAATTTAGTTTAAATAATAAATATACACTACTGCTAAAATGACAGGGAAATCTCTTATAATAACACATATAGTTCATTTAGTTATTAAAAAATTAAAGGTTAAGGTATATTGGGTACTGTATGATTACTGTATAATCGTTTTTTTTTAAAAAATTACTCAATGAATTGTTAGAGGAAATGGATGATAAATAGACTCGAGGTATGCCTGGACCACGACAACATAGGATATATTTATCTGCATTAGTTGAAAACAGCACATCCTGGAATGTACAATCTGGGGCAATACCACATGTCACACATTTTGCTGGTTTATCATCATTCCTGATCTGAAATTCAATTTTGGTCTCTATTAGAAGACTTATATATATTTCTGATCTTTTTGATGTCTTAATCAAATTTTTAATTCAAAATTTCAACGTCGATTTTCTACACATTTACAATTTTCGATTCCAATTAAATTAGGAGGAAATTAATTTACTACATGATACGAAGTCGTGAACATGTGCCTTTGCGATGACAATGGAGATGCAGCCATAAAGTATCTAAAAAATGACAGATTCGCATTCGCATAGACAAGAAACGCAATTCAGACAAATGGATGGTAAAGAAGAAGTTTAGTCTATGCTTAGGGGGTCATTTCAAAGTTAGTCTATGTTTGAGGGAATTTAGAACATTTTCCTTTTAATTATTTAAAATTAAATCGTTTTAACTTTATTTTCAATTGACCAAAATGGAATTATCACCAATTCACTGAATCCTAGACTGTAGAAATCCAGAAAGATACAAGAATGCTGAAACCATACTTACAGGAGTTTCGTCTTCTGATTGTAGCCAGTGATTGATGTCACATCATAATCACTTCGGGTGAGGAATGTTACTTTCCCATATGTGTAGCTTTTCTGTAAAACAAAAAAAAAAAAAATAAGTTCCAACAGTTCAATTTCACTTTGTTAAACCTTATTAAAATTCAAAGATTCAAAAAACAGGTCAGAAAGCAAGCAAACTTACAGGCACTGATACTCGAGCAACTTGAGTGAATATTTCACCAGATGCGGTGTGTCCAGGTAAGCTGACGAAGTATGAATCATTAGAAAAGTGCCGGATACGGAAATTTTCCGGTTCAGCCCACAGTCTATGTCCAGCAATAGTGTAATACTGTTTGAAATTCTAGAAATTCATGGAACATAAGTTTTCTCCTCTCAAAAGTGAAATTATAAGTTTTGCGGTATGAATCAAAAAATATCCTCTTTCCACCGATATAATTTCTGAAAGTAAAAGAACAACATATGACTTTATGTGAAACAAGTGACGAATTATAACTTCAGATGCCAACAGAAATATCCGTGTGATCGCATTTTAAAAAAATTGTTTACTCTTGGGATGATAAAAAGTGAGAAGTTTATATACCATAAAATATTATATTAATTCAATAAAATTGACCTACCAAAACACATTTTCCGGAGTCGAAGGTACAAATTGTAATTGATACAACATTTTGATATCTGTTAGCAAATACAGCCATTAAAAGATCTTCATTATAGAGCGATATCCAGGAGACTGAGAATAAATAGGTTGACAAACTGAAGGAAATTTCCTTATCTTCCTAATCTTGTTATGTTTAAACTTGCACTATTAATCTTACTGAAATCCTTTTTCAATAAAGATTAAAACATTTTGAAATTCACTAGCGAACTTAGGATGAAATAGTATTTTCAAGTTTGTATCGGAAATAACCTTTTCTGCCCAAGAATAATGCCCATTTTTCGAGCTATTTTACTTTCCTTATTCCAAATATTGACAGTAACTTCAGGTAACTGTTCGACACCCGTTTTTGGATAAGGTATTTTGTTGATCGCCGGATACTGTTGTTGCCCAAACAGTGGATACTGTATTAGTGGGACTTTACGATCATCAGTCTTGATAAAAGCCAAATACCGTCCTGATTTTGACCACCACATACCCTTGAAGAATTTTCTTTTCAGTGTGGCTGATTATTATGTCAAAGAATAGCATTACTGATCGAATTCCCATCAAATTGAATGCATTTGCTTACTACATTAGTGTTGAAAATTTCTTCCTCATAAATCCAGTCCGCAATCCCGTTATACACCAATGTATTATTATCTCGGGTAATCCGGTGTATATAATTACGATCAGGTCCCTCATTGTAATAAATATCATTTCGGTGTACGAATGCCTGCAAAACCGTTATTCTGCTAAAAAATTTTTTTCAAAGATAAAACGACAAAGAATATAGCCTCTTTTGGAACTATTTTGGGATTGGGAAATTTTCAAACATATTCTACAATGTTTAAAGCTTTTATAAAATGACAAAACAAAGTTGCTCCTTTCAAATAATCTTTATCAAAATGGGAAGTTCCCAAACCTAAGCTTATCCTAAAAACTGAGCAAAAAAATTTCGAGAGTAGATAGTCCAGACTACAAGGAAACTTGGATATTCGAGGAAATTTTCGTTTAATTAAGTGTGTATAGTTGGCAAAGGATGAAATCCGAAGAAAACATTCAACAAATGACATCATTCATTGACAATTTCCGGAAAGTTGCGGTTTTTATGTCTTTGTAACGGAAACCGGATAATGGAGACATTTGGTCATCCAGAAAATAGACATTTCGGAGAGATTTTCTTTGTTTATCCATTTTCTTTTGGACATGTAAAATCAATAAACAAAGTATCACGTGAAAGCATGAAATTGTATACTACGTTATGTGAAAATCTAGACTGAATCGCTAGTACCCTTTGACCTACTACACCTCAAAATCGATATTTAGCCGAGATGTAATCAAAACTGTTTGTAAAGCTCACGAAATCATTCGACATTGGATTCCAAACAAATAGTTGCAATAACTCATCACCCGTCCCCTGCGGTCCAACCGATGCAAATGTTCTGTAATGAATAGAAGTAAAGGCGATTGAGGTATAATAAGAAAAGATTGACCAAAATTTTCGCTAACAAATAAATTAAAATATTTAATTGATTCTAAAAATCTCAAAAAGACTTACTGTGACTGCATAGAATAAATTAAATAAGTCATAGCGTTACCACTCTGAAACTGTACTTCCAGAATAATTTGTAAATTTCGAAAGAATGATATTTCAATTACTTCCAATGCAGATCAAATACCGCACTTATTATTAGGCGCTTAGTGACATTAAAAGTTGACATTTGATAATTACTGTCCCTTGATTGCTCAAAATACCAAAAAAAAAAAAAATACGAGAAAGATCGCAATTTACCTTCCTATCATCATATGAAAGAGCAATATAGGAAGAATCATGCGAGAAAATAACTTGATTAATATGTCCTTGTCTACCCTGCAAATAAACCCATCCTTTATTTAAATTAATTAGCCCATTAGACCTTAATTACTTAAGTTTAGCTTTCAAAGCATATACGTATCATCGATGAAAGATCACTGAATTCAAATACCATTGTTACTAACCAGGATATCATTTTTTGTGTAGAGAACAGAAGTGATCGGAATTGTAGAAGTGTTAACTATTCGGATGGAATCTATCGTTTTAAGCACAATTTTGTCATTGTCAATCCATTCGATTGTCTCTACTGGACCCAACAACGTGTTATGCAAAATATCTGTTAACGTTAATGGCATCCCTTTGATCGCTCCACCAAGACTGGCTACAATTCCATAATTTCAATTTACTTTAATCTAAACTGGAAATTTTCAATTCAAGTGAAAACGAAAATTCCCTAAAATTAAGAAATTGCAAGTAAAAATAATAACATCGATAAATTAACTTCTGATATTTTTATGCGCATTTGTGAAGTTGAAATTACGAAGTAAACCATGGAACTCCCAGAAGATATGTTTGGGTAAAATGAAGAATCTTCAACAATTATGTGACAATACAACAAATGATGTTATCAGTAAGTGGTGATAATTATAGCTGCTCATTTATCTGTAAAATGGATTATCAAATTTTAAGGGATATATGTACAATGGATATATCAGTATTTTGAATTGATGAGCAGCTATAATTATCACCATTTACTGAAAAAAAAGGATCCCACTTCACTTCACTTCCCAAAGTTATTTTTCAACAAACATATTTCAAACAAGAATTATTTTAAAAGGCAAAACTTTTTCCGCCACATTTCTTCTATTTGCATATTTGTTTGATAATAGCAATAAAATGTACTAAATAACAGAACGCACATCTCATTGTTGTGCAGTTTCTATTACCAAATATTTAGGAGGTCAAAGTTTATGAATTACTTAGCATTTACTATCGATGAGATGGACTTCCTTTGAGAAGAAAGTTTTACAGTGATAGCAGAGGACAACAGTTAGTATGGGGAGAGTTCAGTGTCGCACAAAAACTCCGATCACAGTACAATTTTACATGTTTTCTTTTTTTTAAAACTGATCCCGTGATACTTCGGATATGCTCAATGCTTGTGGTACTTCAATTCGTACATGTAAGATTAACTGAAAACAGTTCGGTGACAACTTACCTGGTGTGATAAGGAGTGCGGCAGCCAGAATAAGCGAGCACATGGCTGCGATAACCAGTAGAGCGATGATAATACCACGCCAGTTACGTTCGAACGGTCCCGAAGTTATCAATTCCTGTAAAATTATATAAGATTTAAATCTGAAGATCCATTTAAATAAAAAAAAAAGTAGATTAAGAAGAAAGGTACAAGCTATAACACTTTGCGAGTTTTAATTTAAATTAAAGTCCAAACTTTAAATACAAAATTGTCCTTTGTCGTATGTAAGCATGCACATAATGTCAAAATTTACTGATTGAATTTGTATTAAACTTAGCTGTTTATTTTTCCCCTTTCTTTTCCTTCTTTCTCTCTCTCTCTCTCCCTCTCTTTCTCTCTCTCGTTGATCGATCCTTTCATGAATTTCATCATATAACTTGCAAAACTTATGAAATTAGGTACTATTTCTACAAGAATTGGAAAAACTGACCGTTCTTGTTTATTCAACAATGTTTTCTTCACTAATTGAGACATCAAATATTGTCACAAGGGATGAGTGAAGAGGAGACACTGATAATGTGGGTATCACTCGTTTCCTGATATCTATCCATGCAAATAAAGTTGGAGGATGAATAACTATGTGAAGGACAAGTAGTGAAAGGTATCCTTGGTAAGATTACAAATTTGTGGTGTTCAGCATCAACTGATCAGTTATTACTTATTATAAGTAACAGTTATAAATCAATCTTGGATTTCTTTTTTCCAAATGAAAGAAATGAGACAGAACCAGAGTTTGATTTCTATTGGGAAAGATGTCCAATATCAACTGACCAGTGAAATGACTACTTACTCTAAGTAACAATAACAGCACTACAAAGCCAACAACAGAACATTTTGTGGTGTAATTAATTGTTTCTTCAAGAAGAAATTAATTAGTTCTAATCTATTGATAATGTAAATTGAGAATTTATAACATAAAAGTTTGGGTGAGATTGGAAATTTATTGGTTGAATTAAGCCAGCTTAAATTACATATATGGAAATGCGTAGGTGACTTGTAAATTGTAAATTGTCAATAAAGAGGTTCTTTGGACCCGTCACTAGTATATAAGATAATACCAATTAGATTTTAGTTCAATTTTCCAAAACGAGAAGGAATTAATTACTTCCTCCCTTTAAATTTCGAAAATATTTAAACAATTTATAGATTCAGAGCATTATTCACTGAATTTGTAAATATATGGCAGTAAGTTGGAAAAATTAATTTTAGTAAAAAAAAAGTGGCACAGTTTGAATTTATTTCTTCCAAGAATACCTTTCCACAAAACATTTTCTACAGCACTAAAAACGTGTAATACTTAACAAACACGTATTCGGATGACGTGATTTACCCGTTGAAAGGAAAAAGTGGATTGGAAACGAAGTTAAGGATAAGTTAATCATCATGATATTATTAAAATGTTACATTACAAAATTACATTAATTCAGCCTCATGCGAAAATACTGGTAAGATTTGATTATAATGGTACTTTTTTACCTTTAATCTATATGTAATCTAATTTGATATACTAATTGATTAAATTAATGAGAAATGATTGTTAAGATAATGACTGCTTCGAGATTTGGATAATTTGAAAATTTTTTGAAATCAATTTCCAAGAAATGCAATAAAGATTAACCCTCTCTTCAGGAAGAAATGATTAAGTAAAAAACAATGAGAAGTCAACTAACATTTGTCTTTGTTTTTTTTTTCCTTTTTTTTTTGAAAAAAAAAGGACACCAATTTTTACGCCACTTTTATCATTTTTCCTTCAATGGAGCATCACAATCACTGAATTGAATATTCGGTTGAAGTGAATAGAACTGAAGAGCTATACTCAGTATAAGGAATTGTGTCCAGAACTGCTGAGAAATAATTGTTGGAACGAGTACGATGAGGACGAATGCAATAGAGAATCAATTCTACGACTGAAGACAAGGATCAAAGCAGGTAGGATTGTATCGGATGGAATTGCATGATTATCTTCAGTTTTCTTCTTTAAAACAAGATGTCCAGAATCACTTTTTTTTTCAGCTCATTTTACTGTCTCGAAAAGTTCCTTTCCTTATTATCCGTTCAAAATGCTTCGAATCCTACAGGTTAAAGCTTAAAATAACACTATAGAATGGGACCAATGCCATATATCATTCTCTGTAATCACAAAGCACTAGAATGCTATGAAATCGTTTCACTTCATACAACCTCTTCCCTTATCTTATTTATCAGCACAGGATGATAGAGGATTGATTTCATTCTTAGAATCTAAAAGCAACCAATATTTAGAACTAAGCCAACCTCTGATATCCAAACTGAGTGTAGCAAATGAAAGGATTGATAATTTGAGCACAACCTGAAATAATTATCTGCCACGATGACTTTCACACAATTATTCAGGAACCTTTAGATTTTCAGAAAAACGGGGAAGGTAACGGAAAAACATTTCTGTTGTAACTTCCGACACCATCCAAATGCAATCAACAAGTGCATTTATTGAATCATTTACAAAAAAAAAAACTGAAAGACAGTAATCATATTTTTTAATTCCCTAAATAATATTAGAAATTCACTAGAACAATCGGGACTGTTTACTTGCTCCCTAATTCTAAAAAATCTTAAAATTCTCTATTCAGAAATTAGTTTTTGAACATATATGTTATCACAAAATTTTGTTTCTCCTTTGACTGACCGAAATTCAGATGTGATAACCTGAGTGATAATATTCTGACCGAAATTTAGATGTGATAACCTGAGTGATAATATTCAAATTCTCGAATCTCTTTATGCAAAACTGCAATTATAAATAATAAATAGAAGTGAAGGTTAAAGAAAACTGAAAACTCCCTTGCGCTAAACTTTTATAAAATCCAAAAACGATTCGCGATACGTCTCAGATATTAAAAACGATTCCCGATACGTCTCAGATATTAAAGATTCCAAGGCTAAATAAAAAGCAAATCATCCCGTCCTACAAGATATTTCAAAAAGGACAGTAAGGAAAAATGGCCTAGAAAAAAAGAAATCTTTTTATTTCATTTTGCATCATGTTCATGCAATGACGTTACTCATTTGGCTATACAGCTATATTTCTGATTACGAATTAAATATAATTAAGGAATTAAATATAATTAAGGAAAGAACTTACCATTAAATTACTTAATAAATTTTGAAATAGAAGCTTTTCTAGAAATCGGAAAGAAATATAACAAGGAGCTAAAGGAAGGTAGAACATTTGCGCTTCTATGAAGCGTGATAAGCCCCGAATTAGAACCAGATCAGTCGTATCTGCTAGAATTAATAATCCTTGAAATTCTAATATCCCAAAATTCCCCCGAAGCTGTTTATCTATTGCCATAAAAAAAGAGAAAAAAAAACATTGTAGTTTTTAAAAATGATTTGTCAACGTTTGTTAATATAAAAAGGAAATCAGTTGAGAGCAAATACCTTCCCATTACCATTAATTGGATCAAAACCATAGTGGCATTAATTAGTTGCTTAATTACCGGTATCCATATAATTAATTACCGGCAAAAGCCAAATGCTGTAGATTAAATATAAATATGCTAATGCATAAATATGTTATGCGTATAAATAAGATGGATTTTCGATGAAGTTGAATAAAAATGAGTTCAATTTGAGAATAGAACAACCAAAATTTGACGGAAATAAATCAAGGAAAAGTCATCTGTAGAAATAAATGAAAGATATGAGCTATTAAAAACTTACTATTGAATTACTTAATGCTTGCATCTCACCCAGCTACCCGGTGAGGAAGAGATATCAAAGTTTCCTGAAGTAGCTCATAAGTAGCAAGAGAAAGATGCGCAATTTTATGAGAGGAGAAGGATGAGAAGAAGCGAAAGAGATCAGGAATTAAAAAGATCTTAGATACTTTCATATGAATCGGAAAATTAGGAAGCAAAAGTGGTTGATAGTAAGCTTAAGAAATTGTTTGAAAACATTTCTTATCAACACATTTCTCATTTCTTTAAGAATTATTATTATAAGGAATGAGACGAACAGTTCATATCCATACTTCTATCGTACATAACTCCCAAAAATGAATTATCATTGATCAATATAGAATTACAAATTTATATTCAAAAAATACAATTTGAGATTGGATAAATCTATAAGTGAATGATAACATCAAATTAAAATCCCTACTTAGTTTCAAAATCGATTTGCATGATATGATAGCTTAACAGAAATCTTTTGATTTAATTAAATGCATCTTATAATATGCATACTTCTCTATATATTTCTGATTGAACCGTTTGTGCAAATGAGCCACTTAAAAGAAGCTTGCAAAACTAACTTTTAATCTATTCTGTCAAATGCATCTACTGATAACGTTGCTGCTCGTTTTTATATATGCCAATTTATGCTCGTAAAATAGGGCTATTAATTTTAAGGAGATTAGCAAAACGTCGAAATGAAATAAATCACAGAACGATTTTTAAATATGTGAACTTGTGGCATGAAAAATTAGAAATGGGATAGATTGCACTGAATTGGTATATTGAATTAGACCTTGAAAAGTAATGTAAAGTTTCTAGAATGGAGAAAGGTTAAGCAACAAGTCGTAAAGGTGTATGAAAACACCTTACTAAGCAGATTAAATATAATGAAGATTCAGGTAGAATGAACTTGAAATGAGACATTGTGTTAAACATTGTGCAAAGAAGGTAACTCTTCCTATTTCATGTCCAAAGATGTCATCTTCGAGCGGACAGATTCTGATGAACATTTGGATAGCTGTTATTATAGTGTGCAAGTATTATGCAAGCAGTAAATATTAAAGGAAACCAGTTCTTTCTGGGAATTGCTATTTTGGTCATTTCTTTTTTCTTTGCTTCTGTCAACCCTTTCCTTTTAACGTTTCCGTCCGATCAGATCAAAACAAGTTTGTGGATAGTTCTTGTTTTCTTGCAGGAACAGAGAATGGTATTTTATGAGGGAGAGGATGCGATGAAGAAATAGAACCGAAAACCGAATACTAAAATTCATCCATCTCTTCCAGAACTGAGCTGAATTTGTCCTTCGGAATATGTATATCGGAAGAAATAAGGAAAGATTATATGACAAACAATTTTCAGGTCAGCTTGTTATATAACAAACTTCTCATAAGAAAAACAGTTAATTTTATATGTCCAAAAGTGAGGAATGGATAAGCATACAAAACTCCCAGAAATTTCTGAAAAGTCTTGAGATCTAGAATATGTCCACTTCCTGAATGCTTACTGTATTTTGTATCTCGATATTAAGAAACAAAAAGAAATTTCCGGAAGTTTTTATTCAATAAACGATATCATTTGTTAAGTGCTTTCTACCAGATTTCATGGCTTAAAGTTTTAATGAATACAGTCGTTTTACGCTACTCGACAATTATAAAAAGTTATGTTTTCCCAAAACTGAAACATGATATCTGATATTCTTTCATGTATATTCATATATTGTAACATATCAGTCAGAAGTGAACACGTGACTTCAACCGGTTGACGCAAGTGAGCTGGATTGTCATCCCTTTTACAATAGCAAACCACCAAAGAAAATTTATCACACTTTTGTAAAGTAGCGATATTATTAGGGTAATAAGTTTGCAACAGTAATTTGCATAATTTATGGGGATTAAAATGGTTCAGAGATAAGATAAAATGAACCTTATCGGCTCCTTCTAAAAGATCTGCGTCGTTGTTTATGATCGAGACTGTCATGATTCATTTATTAACCAGGATTTGTCCAATCTCTTTTCATATCGAATCCATTAGTGAGAATTTTTCTTTCAGGATTTATAGTCCACTTCGGGTAATAAATGGTTTACTAAAGAAAACGGAGCTGAAAATTTTGTAATTTCAACAACAAGAAATGATTTACTGCGATGCAAAAATTAAATATCAGTCGAAAATGTTTGAATAGTTTTTTGATTTCTGAAAACTTTCGAAACTTTTTAAATTTTGTAGAAAAAAGTTTCTTTCGAAGTGAAGAAACAATAAATTGAAAAATTCAATGGAATATTTTACAAAGCGAATGTTAAAACGGCTTGATGAACTACAACAAAAAGCATGTAATAAAAAGACTTCGTGCAATTCATCGAGTAAAAGCTGAAAATGAAGGCGCAGTTGGAAGAGTGAGAAGTCGCAAGAAAGTGCTTCACTTCACTTCGCTTCACTTCACTTCAACAACACAATATCTATGCATCGATTAGATGAGTAGCTATGTCATGTTATGTTATATTCATAAGCAAAAGTATATAGGCTGAAAGGTTTCAACTTCAACTAATGGCGGAAAAATTCCCATTTTACAATCCAAAATATGCTATTATTTAATAATAAATTTAAAACTCGTCCTTTACTTTTTTGCGCTTAAACTTGGAAGGAAACTTTTATGATATTAAAAGTATAAAATCGTTTCAGTCTGGATAATGTTTATCAAATGGTTAACTTAATTAACCTCAAATGAAAATGATTCAATACGAGATTAAATTAGTTGAGATATAAGAAATATTTAAGATTTTATGTATTGAAAATCACAAAAGAAGACAAATGTTGAAGCAACAGAATTACTGAAATTTATAGAAAATTATTTGGGAGTTTGACTTTCTGATAACAATTGCTTCAATCAGTATTTCTGAAAAAGTCTTTGTAATCTGTATCATTATATTGTAGATACATTGTGTTTAATGTATTCCCATTTACGTTGAACGCACAGTACGTCTTTGCATCGTATTTGCATATATGACGTATTTCACGTGATGTACTTGTAATATTTGTACTGCATTTATGTTCTATTCCTGAAATTCTCTCAAAATATTCGACTAAAAAAGATTTTAATAAAAATATTTTTCGAATAAAAAGATTTTAAATACTGCAAGTTTCCCAATAAATCGAATCTGACGCAATGAGCGTTTCCGATACTTTTAGTTTTGTTTGAAAATGAATATGCAGATGGGCATTTTAATTCGAACTTTTTGATTTTATTTCTCGTTTTTTATGTGTGACGTTCCTAAGGTCTTTTGTTGCTTCAAAATTCTGATAATTTTTCCGCGAGTGAAAGAAATTTAAGAATTTTAATGGAAATTATCGAATTGAATTTGAATTTTCATAACTGAATTCTTTTAAAGAACGAAAATATTTATCAAATTTAAATTTATGAAAAAATGAAATTTTCGTCAGCTAGTAGTTACAAATAACATCCCATCTACGTGGGCCTAAAGATATCTGAATGAAGATGTTATTTAGCTGGCACAATATCAAAATTGCTGTCTATCAGAAATTTTAATTGAGGCCATTTGAGTTGTGAAACGGAAAAAGATATGATAGTATATTTCATGCAGAAGAATTTGAAATGATAGCCTTTTTTCTTTGGAATATTTATAGAAATTCAATGAGCATCATCATATCATGATAATCACTGCAACGATATTTCGCCTTACCCCGCTAGTTTCGGAAAAGAAGTGGATCATTTTGTACAGTAACTCAAATAGTTCTCAAAATGATCAAGTATTTAGAGGGGCAGTTAAGTTCAGTATTTGGATTTGATTGATATTGAGTGGATAAATGAATCGTTACAGACTACGAAAATTTTTATTTGCATTAAATTTTGTAGAAAAATTTCAAAGTATTTCTTAGCTATGGTAAGAGCAAACCTTTTCAGCTCATTTTAGAATTTTGATTTCAGGAATGTATCCCATTACCGACTCTTCAAAGATCACAGTTTTCTACCCGTTGCTGGGAACTGAAAATATCATCTGTAAATTATTGATTGCTAATAAAAAATGCGATCAAATGATATTTACAGAAATTGTTAAAATTATAATCGAGAACTTTTTCTCCGTTTTTTTAAATGACAATCATCATTAAATTCCAGAACATTCAGGAAGAATTTCGATATTCTCTCCTTCATTCCTTTCATCTCTCTTCTTAGATGACAATCTACGCAAATTAGAGCGTAAGAATTTGAAATTTATCATCAACTTGATCGCCTCTTTCGAAACAAATACATTTCTTCGGTTGGCATCTGTTAAATTCCTACACTTCCCTAAATTTTCAGCAGATGTTCTGCTGTCTTCCCAAATTTCAATTTCATCAACAAGTTAAAGATTGGTACTGAGCTTTCAGAAACTTTTAGAAGGACTTAGTTAAGTCTGGACTGAAACTGTTATTCAAGACAAGTGTGCTTGGAATTAAGTAAAGCTACAACAGATGGATCAAAAAGTAATTCTCAAAAAGACGAATAAAATGCATCGTAGTTAGAAGAAGATATTATATAAAATGTTTACAGCCAATTAAGTTCATTTTACTTTAAAATTGACAAAAAGAGAAAAGCTGTTGTGAGAGTGATAGTTTGTTATATAAGACCTTTCTATCTTGTATCTTTCTCAGATCTATGATCAAATCATTTGATCATTTTCTTGTTTGGTAAAACTTTTCACATTTTTAATTCAAAGATGGATTAGAATCTTGAACGATAAAACAGTTAAGCAATAAGAGAAGAAACTATTCAATATAATGAACTTAAAATTGTATGGATTTAAATTTTACTACAAAATGAATAGATGGATGTGCTTTCAGTTGTAACAATCCAAAACTTCGAGAATTACGAAAGCTTCCAGTGTCTCAGACATTTCTATCCGATGAATATGGGTGGATTTAAAAATGTTAAATACTTGAGAGGAAATCCTCTGATCTGAATGTTTCCAATGTTGACAATGAGACACTGATGGACCATACGCTTTTTTTATTAAATTCTTTATGATTCCTTTCAGAACTATGAGGTCTTTTCAAACTTTATTTTACATTTAAATGAATTGAGGTGCAAATTATAGCGCCCGAAGAATTTTCCGGAAGGGCATTTAATGACACTTGAAGAGAAGGTCCTCAGTAAAATTTTTCAGATATTCGGAAACAGTTTTGGGAAATGTGGCAAAATAGGTTTCATTAGTTTACATCCATTGATATGGGTTTAATTAATAATTTAGTGAAGGATATTGATAGAAGAAAGATATGCTAATTAGAATTTGGAAGTATTCAGCAGACTTTAGTCTTCAATAAAATAAGATATAGAGAATCTGAAAAAAAAATAAGATAAAGAGAATTTCATAAAGAGTGGAAAGCTGTCACCTGCCTAACACAGATAGATGATGCTTTCGGGATGGAAGAAATACGGCACTGATTTTGAATCTCCCACTAAATTATTTCAGGAAAAGCGATGTTCAGAAAAGACAGATTTTTACGAGAAGATTACATAATTAATGTTCCGGAATGGGTATGATAGTTGAGGACAGGGACGAGAGTTAATATTTAGAGACGAGAGTTAATATTTAGAGTCGAAGGTCATCGTAACGCTTAACCTTTGCTTCAGGATAAACAAAGGGAATAGGAAGGAGTGAGAAGATAAGTGAAGGGAAATAAGCCAAAATCTGAAATGTAAGGTTGTAGAATTGACTCAATAAATAAATGTTAAACTTAAACTTAAGGCAATCCTTGCAGTTATATCGACGAGCAAGACCAGTCACTACTAAGGAAATAATGAAGTAGAGGAAATGTCGCTTGGCTCCTCATGACGATTAAAGACGATTTTTAATATTCGTCAAATAAGTCAAATTCAAGAATCGTAGGTAAGCGACGACAAATGGACATGGCAGATATTAGAGAGATATGCTCAGAAAAGGACTCTAAGACGTCCGCAATGTACGACTTTTAACAAAAATTGTTATAAGCAAAAGCAATCGATAAGGTGGGATTCAGAATATTCCCGATTAATTGCAATAAAATTCGACCAGAGCTGACCTGAGATATGGGACACTCCTGGTGAGTTCCATATCTTTTGATGCAATTCGGTTTAATTAGAATTAGATAGTTGCAAAATCATTTCCTACTATTCATATAAATTAATGCTCAAACTTGAAATATTATCTGCCTGTCAACTTTGTCCTTCACATCTAAATTTTACTCTCATTTGACACTAATACACTCTTATGAACATGGGGAAAAGGCAAATTAGTTAGCACACTTATCAGTGTTAATATATTAAATGACTGGGACCAAATTTAATTTGATTATATTGAACTAACTAATGCAATTTTGCTAATTAGCTTGGTTCAACTTATTGGTGAATAAAATTAATCTAAGATTTCGAGCATCGGAAAGAATACTTTTAAATTCTACGATTGACCTTAAACTAACGATGAAATTCCGAATAGAATCCTCCAGGGTTTTCTTTTTCTGCTTGAAAACTCATTAAATTAATTAGCAGACGAGAAAACAGACAGCATCACAAATCCACGTTTTCTTGCAATCCTTTTATTATCATCCTCTTCTACTCCCAAATTAAAATTTTTTTTTCCCTTATCAACTGCCTATGTGATGTGTCGCATTCTGCGAATCAAAACTCCTTCGTTGAATCTTATTCCAGGGAAACTATTCCAATTATAAATTATAATTAATGAAAAATAGGAATTCACAAATCGAATTATTCGAATATTTTCACTTTTTTCGACTCAAAATCTCTTTGGTCGGGCACAGAGCTATTGAGAGTTGCAAAATTTGCATATTCATGTCTTTTCAGTACTTTATTTTTCAAAATTACTTAATAATATCCATATTTAGTGGTGCGAAAAAAGAAATTTATACAGAGCTGATTATTTTGAAAGAACTTTGCTTTCATTTTTACTTTAACTCACAGCAAGTGAAATGTGTTGAAATTGACAGGTTTGTAAAAGTTACAACCAATTTTTAAAGTCTTAAAATTTCTAAAAATTACAGATTAGTTTTTAAAACGAATACAACACTTGTTTAATCACGGAAAATGATAGCTTACTCAATTGAAGGATACAAAAAGATGTTGGAAAAATAAAACAACTTCAAAAGATTATTCAACCAAGTACAGTTCGACAATAACTTTTAATGTAATGCAAAACTTTGAATGCAATTTTCAGCTGTCAATTAATGAATACAAAAAAATCAGAAAAATTTCATTAAGGAAACAATAGAAGAGTCCATTTTAAATGGGACAAATTAGAACAGCATCAAATATACATCTATATTTAAGCGAAAAAAAGGATGTGATCACACGCACTTTTTTATACTCCAAACCAGGAATGGAAGATCAAAATTTGCGCTCATGGACCGTGTTATTTTTGTGTGTCACCCTTAAGTGTTTGTTTTGATAGTGCTGATAACGCGCTCTTAATTATCACTATGTTAAGGGGTTTGGCTCGTCCTGATAGGCCTGATTCTCCTCAGTTTTAGGTTGTCTACTGGGATAAGATTGTCCATCTTGAGAAAAGACTCTTTGATTCTCTTTATTTATATTTCAATAAATGATTGTCGGCCAGCTTCCGAAATTTCGTTTCAGAACATCTTTTGCAGTCAATCATTAGCTTCCTGAACTGGAAATATTAGTCTGACATCATACTTCAATCCAGATCACTTCATGAAGTTGATGTGTAATTACGTCTTTCTAAACTGGCCACGTAATTAAGATAGCGTCCGTTGAAACCATCATTTGTTGCGTTAATCACATTTTATGCTTTTTTAATTACGTAGTCTGAGCCACAGTTGGTGAAAAAAAGTTTAGGACTTATTGCTGAAATTTTCGGTGGGCCAGATACGCTGTATCGGTGTGATTTTTCATTTGTCATACAGTTTTAATATATTGTCAGACTTGTTTTCCTTCGGTGTGTTTCAAATGTTTCAGGATTGATTAGTTTGGCATGACGTATTGTAATTGAAACCAAACAAAAAAAAACTTCGCGAAATGTATATATCTTAGACTAGTGAATGTGAAATGAGATGAGAGATTTCAGACTCAGTCATTGCTCATCAAGGTTTCCGGTACTCGTTTTGGAGAAACTTCAAAAAATTGGTTATTTCCCTCTTATGTTTTCAGGTTTTTGAGCAATGTTAGGAAATTGTATCGCAGTCCCACAAATGTCACCAATCGCAAACATTCGGTGTTAATTGTATATTAGCTATGATGTCATCGACTCATTCAGAAGGTTCATTTAACATATTTGTTTGAGTCACTCGAGTCTGAGTGCGCTGACCTCGGTATTGCTAGAAGATATAACATAGAAGAAATGCCAAAATTTGATTTAATTTAATAACCTTATTTCGTTCATTAGCAGAATGCTTTTGATTGAGTTGAAGCATCTGGAACACATTTTTGGTTGTGATTCAACTTTTTCGGCGGATGCTTTTTCCCATATCCGAATTTCTTAGAGACGAATTTTAAACATATATAAATCTGTTTTGAGGAACTAAGCTGCTAACCATTTAAGTTCCTGTAGAGAGGGTTTCTGTCCATTCGAAAATTTCAGTTTTCTTGCTTTTTCAGTTTCCTTTTCTTTCCCAAAATCTCAGTTTTCTTTCCTTTTTTGACCTATAATGAGAATTTTGTGCTTTATTTTTATAGGATGCATTGCTTAGAGTTTCAAGTGCTTAAATTAATAATGATTGACAATTAGTTTTTAGATCATGTTTATGATGTTCACATGGACATCAGTCATCAGTTTTTCCCACTTCCGAGCGTAGCAATTCCGGATATCACTATTAATCACCCATCTGTGGCAGAGGTAAATTAGTACTTCGTAAATTTATTGATTAATACTATCTAAAACTTCTTATCATAAACAGATTTTTGGTATTCCTCAAATTATTCCGCGTTTTTTTCTGCGAAATTTCAGTACAATTTCGAGAATGAGAGAAAAGCTATTGCTGATTACGAAAAGAATAAAACCGCCTTAGCAGTCAAAGTGAAGGAAATGAAAACTAGGAATGTAATCCCTGCGAAACAATCAAACATTATGGTTGAGAGAGTGCCAAATTTAATCTGCGAATTACATGCTCGAAAAGTTCATTCAGGCGTTATACTGAAACCGAGTCGCGCTGTAGCCACAACTCAACAGGTTAGAATATTCATCCGATTCTAAAATATCCGACTGAATATGGATCATTAACTTTTATTACTATTAAATTAATTTTTGAAATCTTGGCTTTGGTAATGAAAATGCCCAAAAAATTCATGTATTTTATGTTAGCATTATGTTTTTAAAAATAATGCAAAGCTAGATCCTCTTCTTCCAAATTGACATGCTTTCTTATAAAGTGATCATAAGTGGAAAAGGCAGTTTTTAACGAATTGGAGATTTTGTGGATATGCAGTTTATTTAGCAGTGTTGGAGAACGTTGACTTTTTAATTTGTTGGATGATTTGGGCGCCAAATCATGATTTCTCACTGCAGCAAAATACGAAACCAGTGAAACCAGCACTGAATGCCTTCGAAGAATTTGAGTTGAAACCAAATCTCTTTGATCTCCTGGAATTAAGTACTATAGATGATAAAGCTGCCCTTGAACAGATACTTGCCAATGCGCCACAATCTCCGAGCGTTGTCGGAAGTAGTACCCAACCTTCTTCAGGATTAATGTCTTCATCATCGATTCCAAACATGGTCTGTTACAGCTACTCTTATTTGTGCTGCTTTGCATAAAAAACATTTAAATTTATCTTATCAATAGAAATAAATGATTCTTATGCTGTAAGGAACTGTGGGTGACCCAGTTTTTCGAAGAAAAAAAGCCTTTTTTTTTTCATGCTTGACCCTAATAAATTGTTCGTTTTATACTTTGAATTTCAAAATCCAGAAATTGCCCCAATTTATTCAAATTATTCTGATTCATTTAGCTCTAATTTCTTTCAGGGTTTGAAAACATCAGAAACCGATGATACTCACAGTCTATATAATTTGTCGACTCTCAAAAGCTATAATAACTCATTTGGTATTGGCGTATCTAGTGCCTCTTTCAGGCGAAACTTGTAGAGTTTTCTTTGGGCTAACTAAATTCGGATCGTTTTAAAAGGTTCTTTTTTCCTAGTTGTTTTAGTGTTTAAAAGAAAGGATTTGTTTCTTTGTCGGAGTAAAATTTAGTGCCTTTTATGAAGCACGTCATTTTAATCTTTCTTTAACTCCAAAATTAATTGTGAAAGTGGTTTTACCCACTGATCAGATTAACTTATTAACTTGTCTTAAATTTGCCTACGTGTTGCAACTTCCGATGTAAAAAAGAAACTAACCCTGGATATTTCTAATGGTTAGTGTCAAATCACGGATATCTGACTTGAGTTCAAGTATTTAAGTGACTTGTTTAACTGCAACTGTTCAGAATTAGGGGCTCATCTACTATTTTCCATCAAAAATTTTCAGATGGATCTGTTACCGATGTATAATATTTCGAAATTTTTAGCTGTTTGAGCATAATATGTAAAAGTGGAATGTATTATATTGGCCGTTTTGTATTGTTGATTTCCTAATCAGATCCCACATAGCCTTATTTCAGCCGTTCTTACTGAATCGCTGACGAATGAATCATTGCAGATTCTGATGTACTTGGTTTTTATCACTTAATTTGCATTTACTCCAGTTTGTTCACCTGCTTTGTCACTAAGAAATTAAAGCGAAATAAAATTTCGTTTACTGGCGAATTTGTAAACTGTTGTATCTTTCACTATTCGAGTTTTCGTTGGAATAAATTTGGAATATCTAACAGCTGAAAAGAGAGTGATGCGGTCTTCTTTTGTTTGAAAGGAAACTTCTTATCAGCTTTCTAAACGATATTGCCCTCTATTTAATGTTTGTCGTCCAATTTTTCCAACATACTTCAACATTAGCGTAACCTTCTCGTTGTTCTATCTTATTTAAAGTAACATAAAATACTGCCTTGTTGATAGAATAATACCGTGGTATCGGTGTTGCAGTGTCCCATAAGATACTGTTGATGTCCCAAATGATGAAATAAAATTTTCGGAACTTTTTTTTTCAGTGATGTTGATCAACAGTTACTACAGAAAAAAATTCCCGAAGATTTTATCAAACAAACTGCGAACTTCACTAAAACTAATCAGGCATTGCATAGCATCTCCTTTTCATCCGCAAAAATTTGTGGGCCAAGAATTTCATCTGGATGAAATAGAGCTTTCTACTTCTCCTCCGGACTCTCGCTTCCCCACTTGTACCTTCTACTGTAATCATCTACTGTGTCACGCAGTAATAAGAGTAGTGAAGCTAAAAATTTTTGGATATTATTTCGGGAATTCAACGATCCATCACGTATTTTAACCGATCAGTCGAATAACGGGTTTTTTTTCCCGAACATAAGTTGCAGATTTTGTTTTCCAAGGTTATAATGTTGCAATTTATTTTAACCGGAAATCATGCGGGTTAGGACGGTTTTTGTATTGATATTGCTGTTCATATATTCCTGCCCAGTTGTTTGATCACTGATATTCAATTTGTTTATTCTTCATCTTTATGAAAAATTCAAAAAGACACCTAAATAAAAGATTCTTGTCTTTACAGTGAGTACAGTATGACGCAGTACAGTACGAATAGTAATCGTACTGTGGTACAGTATACGTAACGTACGGTCAATACATCAATTAAGATATGAATAGATAACATTTCGTTTTTTTTCATTCAGTATGTTCTTTCCTTTCTCTATAAAGAAAATAAGAAGCATTGGAGTAGCGGTCAGTGATGAGATTGAATAACGCAGAGAAAGAGAAGGACGAACGGATAGATGACTGAATTCGTCTACCCTTGTTAATATCGATTTATGTATCAGATGGCGGTTTGTATAGACTGGTGACAATGGTGTCTTCCAAGGTCCCTTCTATTGATGTACTTTTTCTTTTAGTTATTCGATTTCTGGAAACATCCTCGCTGTCGGCAATATTTCCAGGTGAGATTGCAGGATTGATTGTAAGAGAGTGGATGCTGAGCTACGAGTAGCATTCCTGACATTAACCGACATAAATTATAGTCATTCCGAATTAGTTAAATTTAATTTTCAGAGAATGTTTTTACGGTTGGACGATTGGCGTATAGGCGATTATTACTGGATCCTCAATCTGCATCCCTTTATGTGGGCGCAAATGGGCACTTATTTCGATTGTGGGCATATAATATCAATGTAACTGCATCCACCGATGGCCTGGTACTCTATAGTTTTGTTTCGCATCTAATTTTCTAATTTTATGCAATTTTCGTCACTTTAATGGTTGCGAAGGTTTAATCTATAAAAGTGACTTTTTATGAGACATATTATACTGCTGGAGAATATATTATGGGAGGTTTATTTCCAATGTAAAAGGAGTTAAAGTTTCTGATATATTGAAACTGTGCATGAACACTTAAAGATTGTTCTGGGATTTATTTTAAAACGAAAATCTGCAACTGAATAAGTGTGACCTTATTATAAATTTAGTATGCTCACGTAGAACTCCCGGTTTCCCCATCCGATGCTGAAGAGTGCCGTCGCGCCGGCCATGCGGAGTGTATCAATGGAGTACGACTTATGTTCCTGAAGGAAGGTCATCAGACATTGCTGGTTTGTTCCTCGAATGCTATGAAACCGCAGCTACGTGAATTGGATGCGTTGTCGCTACAAGAACGTTCCTCTCCCGAAAATGTTATCGGTGTTTGTTCAGCTCACGTAGATCTCAATACAACGGCGGTACTTGTCGGTAAATTGAAATTCTTTTTATAGAGATATTAGTTTTATCAAATGTCATCAGTTAGTGAAGTTTTGCGTTGTATCTGTGGTCATTATCTTAGTGGTTGGTACTTCCTAATGTTCATCTGGGAAGGCTTATTGCATGACTGTTAAATTTGTAGAATGGGGTAACCCGGAAGATATACCTGCTATTTATTCTGGTATCAGGACAGGTCTTATTCTCGACAACAATCTTATTTATCGGCCGCCACTAGTCAAAAACAATAAGGAAGTGTATTCCTCGATGCGAACCATCTATACAGATTCGAAATGGTTATATGGTAAATTAATATTAATGTAGAATTACAAGAGATTATATAAGGAATTAGAGCGATGCACATTAAAAGATACAAGTAATGAAATGATGTAAGGGTAAAAAGACCGCAATGTTATATATCCCTACATTTCGGTAGCATTCAAGGTACTAGACATAATTTTTGGTTTAATATCTAGAACTTTCTTTTGATGCACATGATTATTTAATTTACTTAAATCTAATCAAACTATGGCTTAGAGCCGGACTTCGTGGCATCATTCAACATTGACAAATATGTGTACTTCTTTTTCCGTGAAATAGCGATTGAGCGTGAGAACTGTGAACATATAGTGTTCTCTAGAGTTGCTCGTATTTGTAAGGTGAGTCCTGTTTTCGTTTTTTTGAATTTGATTATTTCTTTTTTTGGATGATTATGTTGACATTGAAAGCTGCTCCAATAAATGTCATTTTCGTTTGTAATTTACATTTCATCATATAATGACTCTGACTTATCGAAGCTGTACGTCCATATCACCATGCAGAAATGTTATGATATTGTGTCGATCAGCTTTTCGGTTAGTCTATAAATAGTCAAAAGATATATTACACAAGTTATAGAAAGATGTTGGTGGGAAAAATGTGCTGCGACAGGTCTGGACTACTTTTGTCAAAGCTCGTCTGAACTGTTCAACTTCTTCAAAGTTTCCTGTTTATTTCAATGAATTGCGTACGTTCGATTCATGCTTTTCAGTTAACATGCCCCCAGTGAATTATAAATTTTCTTCATTGTTGGCAGCTTTTTTGTTAAACATGTCGAAACCGTAAAAGAAATATATTTCGGCAGTAACTAATCATTCATAGTAGTTGCTCCGTCTTAAGATATAGTTTTAATACTGGTTTTTGCTCGTTTCATTATTTTTTATGCTGCATTTGTTAATTTTTAGAATCACTGCAAAGTGTAGATGGTAGATCTGACAGTTTGTTCTACGCTACGTTCACAACACCTGATATCTCCTTTGGTGGTAGCGCTGTTTGCGTATTTTCGTTAAACAGTATTAGTCAGGTATTTCATAAATAATTCTTATTTAAATGGACTTGATTGTGTTGGTATGTGATTGGGTGGAATTGTAATAAATCAACAGTTGATTAAATTATTTAGTCATTAAACAGTTCAGAGGACTCGACTATTTTAAAATTCATACTCGAATTTGATTCTAACGCTAGCAACGAACTGAAATAATGTAGTTATATCCATAATTACCGTTTCATACTGAAATAAGTTCATAGTTGTTCGATCACGGATATTTTTTGGAGCAAACTTCATCCGATGATGGTTGGATCATCACACCACCTGAAAATGTTCCTGAACATCGTCCTGGGACGGTAAATTTTCTTAACCAATTAATTTATGCTCCAAAATTTTTTATTTCTACCAAATCGATGTCTTTTTTGTTGCAAAATTATTTGAAATCATCATTTTAGTGTACAGCCAATTCGGCATCTGTCTCGGATAGTAGTCTACATTTTGCTCGATCGCACTTATTAATGGCAGATGCTGTATCAACTGATCGCCCATTACTAGTATTGCGTGATGAACTGCTGACGCATATTGCTGTCGATACAATGGAAGATGTCAACGTTATTTTCGTTTATTCGCATAGGTTAGTTTTAAACATTATTGAAAATTATTCTACTGCTTGGGAATTTCAACTAATACTGGAAATTCTATCATACTATCATACTATCATACTCAGAAATTCCAGAGACCATGCATGTTATTTTCTAGCCTTTGCTATAGTAACATCGTTGAAATGTTTCCAAGTAATAAAATTATTTCCAGTAAGCTCAGAAGCCTAAATCACATTTTGTGAAAGCAGGAAAATTCTGCCAAAACATTTAAAATTTCATCAAAAAATTGGGCTTCAGGTAACATACATTGTCTTTCAGTTCTCAAAAACTGCATAAAATAGCGCATTGGTTTGAAGAAGCGGACAGGCATTCAAAATTGTTAGCTACGTATAATTTGCAAAATACTGGAACTGTTTTTGCTATGGCATTATTGCCGGGCGAATTTGTCTATTTATCGGATGAGGATAACGTCGCTCAGTACTTCCTAGCCCAATGCTCGCTTCATACTACATGTGCACAATGTGCTGTTGACCCGTATTGTTCATGGAATCCTGCTCGTGGATTGTGTTATAGACGTGAACAATCTCACTTATCGGTAGCTGGGTAAATGATCTTTTCATATTCATTTTTTGTTAATTTTCTTTGGACTTTGAGACTTATTGTATTTTCTGTTACTCTAAATTTGTGCTTACGAAACTGAATTCCGTTTACTTTTTTCTTGTGTCTTATCAAATCAAATTTCGAAATGAACATTTCGCTGAGGCACTGTCTCTTTAATAGGTTTAGCTTTAAATGAGACTCAGCG